TAGAATATCAGCTTCTCAGCGTTGTCAGGGAGCAGTCTTGTGCGATGCTCAGTGATGATGTCTCCACCCGTGCTAAACAATCTTTCGGATGGTACATTTGTTGGTGGAGGTGCTAGGTAAACTTGTGCAACCTTTGATATGGTTGGATACTTTCTAGTGTTAAACTTCCACCATGTAGCTGGGTCTTCCTGTCGCTGTAACAATGGTTCTCCCAAGAAAGTTGGGAGTTCATCACTGATGCTATCTTGAAGTGATCTGCTGTTAGAAATACTCATTATTTCATTTTCCAACATATCTTCGAAACAGTCCCACAATTTTGAAGATGATTCATCAACACGTCTTTTTTTTTGTTGGCTTTTGGGATTGCACATCCTCTGATGTAGACTCTAATTCTTTGTTATTTTGAGGTAACAATTTAGTGGCAGCAAGGACAACTCCCTGCCTTCGCTTCGGTACAAGCTGTATCGTTCAAGAAGCGGGTCTTAAACCTTGGATCAAGCATTGTGGCTACACTGTAAACTCGGTCATTTATAATGTTTTGGAACCTGGTGTTGATAGCATTCAGCAGTGTGGCCTTCATTGTTTTAATGCCAGCATCCCGACTTTCTTTTTCCAAAACTAATACCAAAAGATACACCATTGGAATAACCAAAGATATAGATGCTGATGATGAGCTAACTTCTCTGGTAACCTTCTCGAATGGTTCCAAAACCGCAGCAACAGTTTCAGCAACAGACCATTGATTTAGTGACAAATTAGTAACAGATTCATTTTCAGCACAGTACAATGTTATTGCTCGACGTTGCTCTAACAGTCGCTGCACCATGAAGAATGTTGAATTCCACCTTGTGGGGATGTCCTGAATTAACTGGTGTTTTGGCAGATTTAAATCCGCTTGCAAATTGTGCAAACGATCCGTGGCTGATGACGAGTGTTTGAAATGGCCTACTAATTTATGTCCAACTTTCAGGAGATCACTAACACCACGTTGACTTAATATACCATCGTTGATACAGAGTTGAACCGTGTTGGCAAAACAAGGTGCACTTTTAATGTTTCCATCTCGGAAACATTTGGTATTATTTGCCGCATTGTCTCGCAAAACTAAATGACATTTGTTTCGTGGAATGTTCCAATTTTCGAGTGACCTATCAAACGCTGACAGTAGATTTGCTGCTGTGTGTTGACCTGAATATTTTACACACTGCAAAACATAACTTTGGCGTTCGAACGTAGGAGTTAACCAATGGGCTGTCAATCCCAAATATGACTCCGTTGTTATGTCTGCTGTCCATGTATCTGTTGTAAACGCAAGGCTCAATGCTCCAGCTACCTTCTCCTTCAGTGATGAAGGTGCTTTTTTAAAAAGATCAGGAATTACACGTTCGGTGAAATACTTTCGAGAAGGCATGCTGTACCTTCTCTCCAAGGTTTTCACCAAATTGATAAATCCTGATTTTTCGACGACCTGGTAAGGCTCCATATCTATCGCTGTCATTTTAGCAATCGCCACAGGGATACGCTTAGCATTGTCATTGTTTATATCTCAAGGTTTTTGTTTGTCAAATGCTTTTCTAATCTTTGGCTGGGTGGGCTGGATTGATACATTTCCTAGCAAACTCGCATCACTGTCATTTGAGGTGGCATCTTCGCATTCTACGGCTACTGCAATCGAAGACTTTAAACTGTTCATTTTATCATACTGAAGTGGATGCTTTGACCTTAGATGAGTAATCAAAGAAGACGTTGAAAAACTTTTGGGGTTATCAGGCTTACCCCGCGACAATACTGCATTGCATTCCTTACAAACTGCCTTCGATTTATCGTTTGTTTTAACGTCAAAAAACGCCCATACTCCGGATTTCTTTTCAGCCATTTTTATAAAATTCACCAATAATAAAAAATGCTTAATAAATATATTGTTCTTAAATTATGCGCTTTATAGCTGCATCATTGTCATATACTATTATATATAAGTGCACAATTTCTTGTAAACAAAGATCAGCTTATAATTTATGCATAACCCATGTTATAGCACAAAGAAAATTGTCCAACTCAGCTCACAATTAGTGATGCTGTTATTATGTGCCATGCAAGTTCTTTTACACAAAGATCAACTTATAATGTATGCATAACCCATGTTAAAGCACAAAGCAAATTGTCCAGCTCAGCTCACAATTAGTGATGTTGTTATTATGTGCCATGTAAGCCTAGCCTAACCTTTAACATACCATGTTTTTAAATTATATATATTATATAGCCATATCATCCGTAATATACAATTATGTAGTATATATCACGTGCACAAGTTCTTTTGCACAAAGATCAGCTTATAATTTATGCATAACCCATGTTATAGCACAAAGAAAATTGTCCAGCTCACTTCACAATTAGTGATGTTGTTATTATGTGTCATGTATGCTTAGCCTTTAACTTATTGATATAAAATTAATCGAATTCAATAAAAATTTTTTTTCAATTTATAAAATTTTTAAATGTTGATAGACGCTTAAATCCGGCCCTAAATCCGGCCACCATATCCGGCCGGGGCCGGATTTGAAAAAAAGGCCGGATTTTGGCCGGGGCCGAACTTCGGTGCATCCCTAATATATATACATATATAATGACATAATAAGGAAGAATGAGTTTACGCGTGTGATTCTATAAATGAGTAATAATAAGATGTGCGTAAGAAATTTTTGGTTCCTGGGCGTTTTTCATAACCAATTATGGCTGAAACAAGTAGCATACCAATAAAAACTACATTGGGTCTCTCTTTCATTCTCTCTTTCTCTCTTCTCTCTCTTCTCTTTCTCTCTGTGTTGTGTGGGGGTTATCATGTATGTACGTGTCGCATGAACATATGTGTCTATGTTCTGGTATGAACATAAATGAACGAAAATTTTTAAATAAAAAAACTAACAACAATTAAACAAACAGCTATTCAATTAGTTTAATAAATAAAACAGTTTGATCGAATGAATGCTGAATAATTAAACAAATAAATTCATTGTGATGAAATGTGTTAAGAGATTAGAACTCGGTTAAGGGTAGGTAAGAATAAATGTTAAGAGAAAAGTAGAAAACAATAGCAATAAATATTATTTCCCGACAGTCGAAACGGTCAGCCAGCCTTTCCTCATTGACATCACTGAAAGAGAAACGCAACAAGATCGTTGAATTATATGTTGCTGGCGACGCGCTTTTTGTTAGTATAGCAAACATAAATATAGTTAAACACTTAGCACAACAATTAAGTTTGGATTGATTTTATACATTGACCATGTAGACGTAGAGTCGATCGAGTATAATTCTGAAATTTGATTGTTAAATAAAACAACTGTTTTCAAATTTTCATTGTTTCAGTGGAAATCCCCTCCGCTTCTTCAGCCTTTTTTGCGTCTTTCTAAATTTTCTTTTACGGATTGTTCTAAAAGCATTTTTGATTTGATAGATTTAAACGACAATATAAAGATTTTTAGTAATTAATTGAATAATTAATTTTGGTCGCCAAAAACACATTTGTTGTTTTAAAGGTTCATGTGAGTTAATATTGATTCTTGATATTGTGATAATTACATATTTTTTAAGTCACCCATTAAACAATTATCACGATTGGACTAGCAAACAATTAACCAGCCAATATATTATCAGCTACAAGGCGTAGGTACCCGAGAAGCTGCGTTTGGCAGGATCAAATCCATCGTTAATGCTGCAGATGCCGTAAGCTACATTTTTAAGAAATTGTAATTATTGCATTTAACTTCCAGAATAAAAAAATTAATCAATTTTTTTTATATATTCATCATAAAAACAACTTGTAAAAAAGATTCATAATAATCTGCAATCTCTAAAAAAATATTTTCAAAGTTGTACAACAGTGTTGGCATATATTTAGTTCTTGTCGGTTCAGAAGTTTGGGATTCACAACAGTTTACCGTATATTCCAACATATCACTAACTTTAGAAAATTGGTACAAATACAAAGCAGACTATCTCAACGGCAACGTTACAAGCCACGACAATGCAGCCTTAATTTCGTTAGTTTTTTTTTATAGTGGCATTCAATTTGGTGAAAATTTACGAATGAAATGGCTAATTTCAAAAAATAGTGGAGAAAAATTTGATTTGGATATTGTTGGACTGGCCACCTTGGGCTCGATGTGTGATTCTCTTAACTCAGGAGCGGTGATTGAGGTATAACTATTTGTGTCATCTTAAATATTCAGAAGGTAGGTAATTAAAAAGAAATTTTTAAACAAAATTTATAAGGACGATGGAAAATCTATCATAGCATACCCAGCGGCAATTTTGACCCACGAAATGGGACACAACTTTGGCCTAACGCATGACGATTCATGTGTCTGTAGTGACGCTGCCTGCATAATGAAAACTTCGTTAACGTATTTACTATTATTTCTAACGCTTGAAAATATTGTATTTTATTTGCTAATCCTTTATTTAACGTCGTCAATAGATATTGCGAATTGAAATCTAAAATATTCAAAATTCAATAAAAATAGTTTGATAGTTCCTAACAATATTTAGAGAAGAATTGTTTTAAATTATAATAATTATTTATTTAATAGTCCCAGCAGTCCTCCGACAAAATTTTCGTCGTGTTCGTTGACTGAATTTGCAAACAATTGGATTAAAGGTTATGACCTTTGTTTGTGGAACATTCCAGACATCGTCGCATCTTCAACCTGCGGAAATGGAGTGGTGGAAGATGGAGAGACGTGTGACTGTGGAGGGCTACCTTCCGACGTAATTAACTACTTTCAATTTCGTTTTTAGATAGTAACACGAAATGGTTTACATTTCATTTAACACGTTTTACAAAGGTTTGCAATCCGTCCTGTTGTAATAAGGTTACTTGCCAGCTCGTTTCAACGTACCAATGTGCTTCTGGTCTCTGTTGTGACCTGCCCACGTGCAAAGTGAAGTTTCTTTAGTTAATCATTCAATCAATTTTGTTGAATTTAATTTTGAAAGTTTTATTCTAATTTTTAAATTTAATATATTTTAACAGTTTTACCAAGCCAACACAGTTTGCAGAGGAGCCAGTGGCACGTGCGACATTCAGGAATTATGTGGTGGCACGTCAGCTTACTGTCCCGAGGACACGTACAAACACGATGGCACCCAGTGCGCTGTTGATGGCGTTAGTGATATTTCTACAATTTTATCAACTACCAATGAATTTTGTTTTCTCAATCTAATCCTTTGTCGTCAAATCCTGACGATACAGATTGTGACCGTAGAAATTGTTAAATTCATGCGCCCAGATGGCGTAGCGTTGAGAGATAATTAACTGATTGTACTGCCATTGTAGTGACCGTTTCTGAATTCAAGTGCTTTCCCGCTGCCATACGCAATCTGCAAAAATATATACGTTTAAGTTTTTGTTATAAGAGATTAAACTTACGAATGGTATATTTATTTTAAATCTATGAGTTAGATTATTATTTTGAAACCATTCGGTACAATATTGAGATTTTATTGAACAAAACGGGACCCCAAATAATTTGGAAAAATAACGATACGACGAGATCTCATTAAAAACTTACCTGCCGATTTAACAAAATCCGGCTCTTGTATCGAAAATTTAATAAGTATATTACAAAAAATATAATCAATGGTCGTAAATGTATCACTAAACCATATAGTTTTGACCTGGAATAAAATTAAAAAGCATTTATTTTTCATGTCTAAAAGCTATAGGTGTAATATTGAATTTCAATCGATAATATCGAATTCATGAACACAAACACACACACACAAAACACCACAAACACACCTACAGAACACACACATACATACATACAAACATACACACACATACATACACCTCACACACTCATACATAAATACAATCTGAAGCAGATGAAATCATGTTTTATTAACTGACTGATGTCGCTATCTAAATTACTTTTTTGATTGAAAAACATTAAAGATAAAGTTAGAAGGAATATTGTCATAGATGCTTGTTTGAAGTGATATTGTAAAATAAATTTTTCATTGATTTGTTGGAATTTTCTAATGGAACTGCCTCATCGTATATCTCCCATAATACGCTCAACTGGAAACGTATGTATGCTTGAGTTTTTAATAGTTTTTCAGTTTTGTTATACAGTTGGTCTCAATACTGTTAAGCTATAAATAGGAGATAAGAAGCTTTAAACTAATAGTAATAGCAATAATAATAATAATAATAAAAGTTGTCTCATAACTTTTATAAAATCTAGACTGATAACAAGATGAAAGTTTCGAAACACATACTTTTTGTTTGTTGAATATAATTCTTTCATTTTTTGATAAAATCTCAGACGGAGCTCAAAAAACACGATGTTTTATAAAACATAGAACAGTAATTCCATAAAATGTTTATTTTAAATCAGTTAGTTTTTTTTTCAAATAAAGAAACATTTGTTTTAACTCTATGATTTAACCATTTTCTTCAGGTAACAGCTTATTGCTCGGAAGGCAAATGCCGAACTCGTGACACTCAGTGTGCTTTGGTGTGGGGGAGTGGAGTCAAAAGTTCTCCGGAGTTTTGTTACACTACTAATAATGTACAGGGAGACAGTTCAGGAAATTGTCGGCAAACTTTAACTTCGATTCCAACTTACTATCCATGTGTTACCAGGTATAAATGACCAACTTTGAACTGGTACCCAAGTGTTTTACGAAAACTTTTATAAAAATTATTCAACAAATAAATCGTTATTTATTTTAATAGAATGATATTATTTATAATTCCAGTGATGTTTTATGCGGTCAGCTGTTTTGCGATTCTTCTTCGAAAAATGGAAACACTCAGTTAAGGAGTAAACTCACTGGATACATCACCTATAATGGAATAACTTGCAATTACGCTTCTTTGAACTTTGGAACCCAAATTCCAAATCCAGGTTACGTTCCAAACGGAGCATCCTGTGGAAACAACATGGTGAAATTTAATGTTGTCAGTTGTGCTTAGCAATATGTAAAAGTACCTATAAAATAATTTTGATTTAGATGTGCTATAACAATTCTTGCAAGTCAGTTTCGGATTTTCTGACTATCACGCCCTGTTCAGCCACTTGCTCAGATAACGGGGTTAGTAGAAAATTTTGCCAATCAAATTAACAAAGTTATTGCTACATAACGTTTGTTGTAATTAACTAATTTGCATATGACATAGATTTGCAACAACAAGGGAAATTGTCAATGTCTAAATGGCCTAGCGTACCCACAATGTTCAGGAAATATCGTGACTCTACAAACTCTACAGACTACTACTACTACAGTAATTACAACCACCAAAACTACAACTACTACAACTACAACTTCAATCCCAAATAACGGACATTGTCTACGTTCATTAACCTTCTTGATATATTTATCGTCGTTCCTGTGCCTACAGCTAATGTAAAGACTAAAAATGATTTGTTTTTTAATAAGGCTGTTTGAAACTTCTTTAGAACTTTTAGCTACGTCACTAATAATTTTCTGAACATAAAAAGTTCACTGTGATGCAAGGGCGGATCCAGGAAGTTTGACTGGGGGGGGGGGCGAAAATTTTTAAATAAATATTTTGTAATGTTGAATATATCCATTTTTGATTATAAATTTTAGAATGTAAAGTAATTGAATAATATAATGTTTTATGTTTACTTTGATTTATTTATAATTTTTATTACAAATGATCAAAGGAAAATTATGAACGCACCCACGCGGCAAAATACACTTGAAAATTTTTTGAACGCTTCTTCCGTCTGATTTTCATTTTAAAAATTCAAATTTGAGTTGCGCTAGTAATAGTACTGTATAAGTATCATAATTCATAATCATATTTTCAGTTTTTTTTAGAAGATTAATTTAAATATATATGGATCGTTTTTTGAAGCGAACTAAAAGGGCACATCCACCAGGTTAGATCACCATACGATATGAATTTGTTCACTAGTAGCATAGAAATTGTTAAATAAGTGTTCAGAGTTAAGTTAAATTTAGTTTATTTTTTTAGAACTACATGAAGGTGATAGTTCCGATAATCATAATGAAAAAGTGATTGTTAAAAATGATGAATCATTTGAGCAATTAGCTTTGCACGATAATGACGAAGATAACAAGATAAAGAATAATGAAAAAGTCTATCAACAAATGGATTTTGTACATTTGTGGGCAGCAGTAATAAAACTATTAATGATGATATAAAATTTGAACTTCTACAAAATCCATGGAAACCAGAATTTGGCTACAAATTTCCGTATTCAAATCATATTAAAAATGGTAAAAATGAAAAACGGTACATTTTGAAAAGTCACTTGGAAACATTTAATGCATGGTTGACATACTCGCATGTGGAACAAGGTTTATTTTGCAGGTATTGTGCTCTAATGGCTGACACCGGCGGTATTAGTCATCAAACGCCATTGCAAAAATTAGTAAAAAAACCACTTACATCATTTGCAAAATTATTAGGCAAAGATGGTGATCTCAGCTGTCATGAACAATACAGGTATCACAAAGAGTCAGTTCAGAGGGGCAATGATTTGTCAAATCATACCAAAATCCATCATTTGAAGTTGTTAATCAACTCTATTCCGCAAGATATCAGCAAATGAAGGAAAACAGAGAAAGATTGAAGCCCATAATTAAATCTATTATTTTTTTGGGAAAACAAAATATTCCTCTACGAGGACATCGAGATGACGGAAAACTTAATATAAGTACTAATGATGCAGGCGATGCTGATAATGATGATGATGAAGATGATGAAAATTTGGACAATGACATGCTTAATGAAGGGGTATATGGTACCGGTCCAGTTAGAAATGAGGGTAATTTCAGAGAACTACTTCAGTTTAGGGTCGATGCTGGAGACCATGTTCTTGAAGAACATTTAAAATCATCTAAATCAAATGCGACATACATAAGCAAAACGATTCAAAATGAAATCATAACCACAATTGGCGATATTATTACAGATACTATTGTACAGAGAGTTAAAGCAGCCAAATTTTATTCAGTTTTATTTGATGAAACAACTGACATATATGGTATTGAGCAATTGTCTTTGAGCTTACGATATGTTTACAACGGCCAGGTTAGAGAAAATTTTGTTGCATTTGTGGATTCTCTAGAGGATGCATACAAAGATATAGAATCGGAACCAAAATTAACCGGAAAAATGTTGGCCGGCTCAGTGTTACGTTTACTAAAAGCGCTAACTTTAGATCCACAGCATTGTGTTGGTTGTGGAACAGATGGATGTTCTGTCATGACATCTCAGTCATGTGGTGCAGCTGCAGAAATATCAAAAAAAGCTACATCATGTATTCATTGTGTTTGTACTAACCATGGACTGAACTTGAGTTTATCTAAAACATCCGATGTACAAGCCATAAGAAATGCAATGGGCACTATTAAGCAAACGGCTTCCTTTTTTCGCGCATCGGCCAAAAGAAAATTAGTGCAAAGAATAATGTTTAAAAATGAAAGTCAAAATTTGAGACAAAATGTCATGCCTTTATGTGAGACACGTTGGGTTGAACGCCATGATTCGATTATCAGTTTTAGACAGTCCCTGCAATATGTTCTAGCTTCTTTAGAAAATATTGCTAATTGGCATGACAGAGAAACATCATCCAAAGCAAAGACGTTGTTATCGGCTTTAACTGATTCTGAATTTTTAATAGCTTTGTACTCAATTGCCGATCCATTAATTCTAACTAAGCCACTAAGCAAAGTCTTACAAACAGAAAATTTAGATTTGGTCGAGGCAGCTCAACATGCTAATAGAGTCATAGATAATCTTCAATCTAGAAGAGAAAATGTTGAGCAAATATTTCATGATATCTTTACGAGAGTTTCTAAAGTTGCAGAGGAACTGAATATTGAATAAAAATGCCAAGATGTATAGAAAGACAAGTAAATCGTGCAAATATTAAAAGTAACTCATTAGAAGAATATTTCAGGATTGCTATATTTATTCCCATGCTAGATAGTATGATAACAGACATGAAATCAAAATTTGGAACAATCCAAATAGCTATAATGGGTTTGAGTCGTTTGATACCTTCAGTTTTCCTCCGAATAAGTGGTAATGCAGAACAGAATAAAACATGGTTTTTAATTGACCAAGCTGTTACGAAATATAAACGTTTAATAACAAATTTGACCTCGTATGATGACAACACGGCCATTGAATTTGTACGCAATGAAGAAATGCTCTGGACGCAGTACTGGGTAAAGATGAATTCACAGCCCAAAACGGCCATTGAAGCTCTCGCATTGTGCAATTCCAATCTCTATCCGACAATTCACAGCCTGTTGTCAATATTGTGCACCATGCCTGTTTCAGTAGCAACGGCAGAACGTTCATTTTCTACCCTGAGGCGGTTAAAAACGTGGATGCGCTCCAAAATGAATGAGGAAAGACTAACGGGATTAGCTTTAATGAACATTCATCGCGATATTGAATTAGGTATTGAAGACATTATAACAAGGTTTGGCCGAAAAAAAATGTAGAAAAATGACATTTGTCTTGTAAATATTTCATGTATATAACAGAACAATGTTTTGAAGAATGTTTTTCAATTTAAAAAAAATCAAGAAGTTGAAGTGTTTGGCTTTTTGTTATTTATTTCATAAAATATCAAACCTCAGTTCAAAGTGGAGGGGGCGATCGCCCTCTGGATCCGCCATTGCTGTGATGACGATTTATGCACTTGTTAAGTCATAGTAAATAATTTTTAATGGGTTGTTAAATTAGTTATTAAAGTATAATTTTAATTATGGCAAGCGTATTATAATATATTTGGTTGAAATAATTCATTATTTTGAACTACTTTTCAAAGTTGTCCCCAGAATATAATCTATTTTTCTCAATTTTTAGCTTTTACACTTGGTTTGGCCTTGATGAGTTTAATTTTGTCTTGTTTTTTTTAATGATACGTTTTTTACTTAGATGGCACTTTTAGGAACAATAAAGACAGTCTCTCAAAATGTCTTACATAATTTCACTTAAAATTTGATGACATACAGTTCAACTAGAAAAATCTTTCAACATAGTTCGGCGTAAGTCTAGTGTTTAAGGTCGCCTGGTCCTGTTACGCAGTGACGGCTTTCGAAAGGCGGCGTCGTTTAAAACGTATTCATATGCTCTCTCTGTGAAGTTGATTTCTCTGAACATGAAAAGTGTGGACTGAAATTTTAACCTTTTTTATTGTTCAATTCAACCAGTGTTAATTTTATTAAAAATTTTCCTTCCATATCGCCCTCGAATTTTTAAGTCCATTCTATTTCAAATTAATCCGGATTTCTCTCAATGATTTTTTAACTCATTTAATTTTTTCATTTAATTGTGTCTAATTCACTTTTAAGTTTTTTTTTCATTTCGCCAAAATAATAACATTTGTTTGGTACTTAAGAATAATTTATTGTATGTTGACAACAAAAAATTTTGTTCTACAAAAAATTAATATTCGGATCACAGGCAGGAGATACGGAAATTATTTGGATAGCTTCAATAAGAATGTTCGGATCTGCATAGGCTTCAGTTCAACGTTCCAAGTCTTTGGGTCTACTGGAGTGAAGAAAGAACTCATGTCTGTGTGATTGAATAAAAATCATAAGCTGCGCGATACTTAAAAGTTAACGTTAAAAGAATTATAATAAAAAACATCATTATGAAAAACAAAAATAGGAAAATTTTATGACAAATACAATCAACCAGGACTAACCACTTTTGGTTTTGCCATATTTTTGGACATTCCACCGCAATCTCTGAACATTCTCCAACTTTTGATTGGCTCCCAGAGTTCTTTCCTCGAATGAAACAATGTCCAATGGAGCGAATAGGTTCTGAGGAGGTTTTAAAGGCAAAATGATATCATCGTTAGTTCATTTATCCATTTGAAAATTAATTTGCATGAATGGTTAGAAATTTAGAGCTTCATTACTCAATGAATGTTCTCAACAGAGGCGCTCAGAACATAGCAAGTGTTAATGTAGACGGCTGCAACTTACAAAATAGATGACAATACTAAGCAAAATTAATGTGAAAATGTTTAACAGTAAACTAGAAAAATTGCGAGAGGACAACTAAAAGCTACAAAACCAGAATATGAAATAAACCTAATCCAAGGTTTAGTTAAAATTAGCATTCTGTTTCTTTACGTTTCCAATATATGTCGGCTTTTCGATGGAAATAAATGTACGTGGATAAAACAGATTAACAGAAGTAAAATAGAGAAGCACGAGAAATGAGATGAGTCGCATAATATAAATTAGAACTAGATAATCCACAGTTGCGATTTCAGAGAGGAGAGAACGTGTAATCAATGACAATTACGAGAAACTGCCATTCGGAACTCATAAACAGTTGTAGAAATTTTCCATATTTTACAATTTAAACATTGAAGGATCGATACAACCATCTTAGACATTTTTATGTGCAGATTATTTGCTAAATATAGTTTTTCGTCAATCTCTTCAGCAAATTAAAACAGGTTTATTTTTGGGACGTTTTTCTTTTAAGCGGAAGAAAAATTATCACAAACACTAGCTCTGGTTATCACTTCACAAAGTTAAAATATGTACAACAAATCAAATAGACATAATGCATCTATATGAAAATATGAAGACAATCACACAACATACTCGCGGCAGGAAGATAAATAAAATCAGTACGTAAAAAAAGTGAAAATCGAGTTCACTTCTTTTTTAACCCTTCTTGATATCTTGAAACGCAAACCACCATGTCAGTCAGCTATTTCAATGGAATTTGTTCACCAGATCATTGCTCAGGGCAATCTATCATGAAAATTTTTAGGTCGTAAAGCGAGCTTGTGCAAAATTTTCGAACACCTATACTCACTTGTTGTTAAAAATATGTATTGCCCCTCTGGTGAACTAAGTTTTGCGCCTATAATTTACATATATGGTTTCTGATTGCTCTAACAATTATGTATAATCACATAAGTAATTAGCCAATTAAATGTTTTTTCTAAGAACTCAAACGGCAGAATAAACCTTGAGAGAAATGACAGCAGGTTTGGAGAGATCACCGTGTTCATTCTTTTCATAGTAATGTTCCAGTCTCAAGAGAACATCTCCTTGATTCCAGTCCTCCAGTGTCAATATATGAACATTTTCGTTCACTCTCTTCTTCAATCCACTCCACTGCATGTTTAAATTTCATAAGAGTAACAATTAAATCATAATGCTATAAATACTACTTTTATTTATAATAATTTTATGTTGCTGCTTTTTGTGCATCTGCACCAGAACTTTTCCAACCTTAAATAAGGCTGGCAATGATAGAGTTGAAAAAAATTTTGGTTGAGGCTTTGGTGAGAATTCTGTTGAAAGCCAGAATGCATTTTATACAAAAAGCGAATATTTGTTTTAGCTAAAATTGTATCAACTCATCATATTTAAATTAAATTGTTTGATCTAAAGAGATGCTTTATTTACAAATCAAATCAAATTGCAGATTTCAATTGAAATTGAATATATAAAATTGTGAAATAACGAAACGAAACTGACATTGGTGTTATGTTCTTTCACAAACTGTTCCAGAGATATTTTTTTGAGATCGAGAAAGGATAGATAGGGTGCCATGTATATCTGCTGCGCCATCGACCTGTGCAGTGCTACAGATGAGTCAATTGTGTCTAACAAAACGTAATGAAGACCTGCGTATTCAAGAATTTATTCATTAACACGAGTAGCTATTATTATTAACATGAGTAGCAATGAACTTCTTATTGGAGAAATTAATGTAAAACCTTTTTCTTATTCACATTTCCCCGGTAGGTTAAATACTTTTTGAGCATGTCTAATTAATATTTCGACATGCATCACATAATGAATTCCCCATGGAATAAAGAATCAACAAATCATTTCATGTAATTAAACCCATCCTCAATATTTTACAAAATAACAAACATTTAAAATTAAGGCTGTATACTGAAAAACGCTTCATCTTTGTAACTAAAAAATGTAACTAGACTAACGGTCTGCGTTCCGATCGATTTTGATCGCAAATTCCAAATGCTTTAAAAATCAAAATCGGATTATCTGAAAAAAATTTTCAGTCGGAATAATTCCGGCATATCGAAATAGAACTAAACAACTACAATCAAATGCAGTCAAATTAGGATTCCGAAAAAATACCTTGCAGAATTTTCCGACAAAATTATGAGTTTTCGACAAAACTCATAGAAATTGTCTTTATTTTGAGTCTTCGTCATAATATTAATTATTAACGCGGAGCTACAATAATATTTATCATGTTTTTTCTGAATTAAAATTGTCTATATTAAAGTAATATTAAATACAATGAAACCGCCAAAAGAATATCAATTCCAAAAAATTACGATTTTTTCTGACGGGTAAAATAGTCGTAGACCGCTCTTGAATGCACTTGCTCCGAGGTCGACATAATTTTTTGAATATTCCAACGATCCCATTCCGAAAGAAAATATAAAGTGAAACTTATTTAGCATTATCTATTTCAAAAGTATTAAACATTTTATTATTAATGCTAGAGTAAAAAAACTTATATTATTCTATTTTATTGACAGTTGTGTAAAAACATCGATACCCTCTCATCATTCAATGAGTTTTGTGTCAATTTTTTAATCGAAACAAAAATATATATCCAGTATCTGTAATATTTTTTAAGATAGCATGTACAGCTTACCTCTAGCAGCAATCCCTTTGCTATCAATTCCAGGTTCATTAAGTGGTTCGTCAACACCAAGAGAATCATCATTAAAGTTTCTTCTGTGAATCTGTGTAAAAGTCACGCATATGCGCGCATTTTGTAAACGTGTTGCTATGTGTGTTGTTTGTTTGATTGTGTGTGAAATAAAGACAGAGATTCATCACTAAATTCTGTCCGGTTAGTATTATTTTACTTTTATGCTTCCGGCATAATTGGTAATAAACATTACGTCATATAAAATTAGAAACTGTTCAACTCTGCGTCCTCCCATGATTAATTTATAGATCAACTTCGAGAATTTTTTTCAACTTTTCTATCCAACTATTTTTACTCTTATTAGCTTGTTGTTATCTAACTATTGGGGAATTTTTAAATTTATACTTTCCTTCCTTATTGAAAAAGCTGTCCATGGTTTCAATTTAAACCAGTCAAAGAGCGAAACCATTACGATAACGATTTACTCTGCCTGTGATTCTAAAAATTCTAACTTTTTTTATTATCTGATTGTTCCTCATCATCTTTTAAACTAAGGAACAGTTATTGAACATTAACTAATGGGAATATAATTTGACAAATGTCGAAATTTAAAATTAATTTATATTCTAAAATGTACACAGACTTTCATCGGAGTTAATTGACCGTAAATTTTTATTTCCATTTTGATTTGAAGAACTTTATATAATATCAAATGCAAGAACACGCATGAGTGAAAAAGTTGAACCATCAGTTCCAAATGTCCTTCCCTCAGACTTGTTCCACCTTGTGACCGATCATTAAGGACTGTCAGCTGAATGCCCTGCCTCGAGTCCTGTTCATATTCCATAACATTAAACTTAAATCATGTGCTTGTGACATTCCAGAGGAACACTAAAATAATATTTTATTGCTATGAGAAACTTTTTTTCAAATTATGTTCACAAAAACAAGTATTCAACCTGAATATATATCCTGCTGCTAACGGGAAAATAGTTGCCTGATACCGGCTCTGTGTTTTCAAAGTTCCATGTTGGTCGGTGGTCTCGACTGAACGGTGAAAATAAATGCAATAAATCATAAAAATAAAATAATTTTAAATGTAAAAATCACAAATTACATGATTTATTCAGAGCTTATTAGAGAGTTAATTATCTGAACATCACCTAACTTGGGCATGCATTTAACTATCAAAAAACTTTCCTTAACATTCATATTCATTGAGTGATACGCTGCTGTCAAAATTAGCGCTTGAATTGTTTACAATCAAAAAAGATTTTAGGCTTAAATTATCCGAATTGAAAAAAGTTCGACTGATTCTAAAAAGCAGGCGCATTGCATACGCTAATGCAAATTTTGTAATAATCTTATTCAGTTCCGTTCCAATTTAACATTTCATTTAAACACCAAATTCATTGAGCGAAAATAAATCATAAAAAATAAATCTGCCAATTAAGTCAATAAAACACAAAAATTAGCACGTTGAATATTATTAAAAAGCGTAATGCTTAAATCATAACATGGAAACTATAACTTGGAAATATGTATTATATACGCTCGCACACACGAACAGACTTCACAAAACTGAAAATTGTTTCTCTTACACATGTCTTAATAATCTCAAACCTATTTTCTGTTGCTATACTCACTAGCTATCTAACAATGTAGTTCATGTCTTTTCTCCATTGAGCAAATCATTTCTGATGTCCGTCTTTTATATTTTACTTCTTTAAACTTTATTCTGCCAAAACTTTAAGCTTTTTCTTTGAAAACTGCTACCGAAACATTGGCAGTCGCAATGTACAGACAATTTTGAAGCTTCGAATAAACAAGAACATTAAACTTTCAAGTGTGCAAGTGAATCAATCATGAGTGAAGTCAGGTCGTCTAAAGTTATGCACAATTTAATACCAAAGTGAAACATAAATTGAATGAAAAATAGGGACGCACCGAAGGTTCGGCCTGGTCGAATAGTGCAACTTCCGTTAAAACCATCCCTTTTTTCAATTTTAGAACAATAAGAGGGAAATTTATTTTTGACATCATAGCTTTTGAAGATATATAATTTGGGCGATAAATTGAATATTATCTCGATAATAAATTGTTGAATATGACATAAATCGCCTACTGTTTATTTCAACAGTTATTTTCACATTCCAAAAAATTACATTTTTTCAAAAAATGTGGGTTTTTTAGCATTCGGCCTTCGGCTTCGACCGATTGGCGGATCAACTATTCGACCATTCGACCTTCTTCACTGTTCGGTGTATCTCTAATGAAAATGTATCAAAAACTTACACTCTCTTCAACATTTGTCTTCCGTTTGCATCAGTATAGAAAATGTTTTGACTCTTGATAGAGGTCTCAAATGAAGACACGACTTCCTTGCCCTTACTGTTACATTACAAGTCGTCACAGATACAACAACAACATTTAACGCTTCCTCTACATATCACATATCTAAATACACAATTATTTTATAATTGGCATTGTGACACTAACGAAGATTACCATTCATAAAAAAAGATTTCAGTTTATGCTAAAAATTATCATTTAAAAAGTTAGGAACTTATTTGAAATATATACAGGTTATTAATCAATATATTTACATAACCAAATTCACATAAACAACATATTTATTAAGCATACTCATCAGGTATCGGTCCGACGGTCCATTCAATTTCAAAATGCTTGGCCCCTTTATACAACCTAATGACCTAATTGTTATTTGTCTTGGTTAATAAAAAAAAAAACAGATGACTGTGAGGACAGATGATAAACTGTTATCAAATAAAAATGTTGTCTTTATTTGTGAATAGATGAGCAATCTTTTGAAGTTATTGTTCTGTTGAAATATCTTGACGAAATCGCGACAGCGCCTCAGATAATACTTTCCAAATTGTACACACTGTTAATGTTAAGCACATTCAAATTCTCGATATAGTACTATCTCATGTTCTGTTCAGTCAAGATTCCAAAATTTTATAACGATCGTACAAGCTGTTGGTACTCTTCTAAAATATTTTGCTTAACTCATGTCGTGTTAAGGGAAAAAATTTGTCATCTTTCAACAATGCCAACAAATGCTCAGAAAAGTTTATATTTTATGTGCTCAACTTTTACAGTGCGTTCGTAAGCATTTAACAAAAAATTGCTACACTTAAGAAACTTGTAAACGGATAAACGTTAAATGCAATTGGCACAGCTGATTTCGTGATGTGCCTAATAGTACTGGTGGCAATCATAAACCACACATTACCATTTTCCAAATAACTGCAAGGAACTAGCAAAAAACTTGCTTAAGCTTGCTTACGATATTATTTTCATTATTAATTTGGGTAATTTATAAAGTTAACGTTTCCACGCGACTAAAAAATTACAGAAAGAGTCCTCCCTATTTTTAAAAGCTGACTACATCTAAATAGACGACCTTAAATGAACAAATGTCAGGCCGTAAATTTGGAAGCCAAATATATCGAAGAATATTTACATTATAAATAATTTTTATAATTTTAAAACCATCTTCAAAAAAATTTGGCTACACCCATTATTTACTAGCAAAATATGAAACAAAATAAGAAAAAAAAAGAAAAAAGGACAACCAACCTGTGACGCCCAACTAGTGAAGCTCTGGTACGCCTCACTCACCAGCTTGCCCTGTAAACATCAATTGACGTAACGATAAGGAAAAACAAGCTTGCAACCTTGGCATTTCTTTTACAACATTACTTAAGAGAATTGTACACAAAATAATTAAGTAGTGCACAAATAAATACGTAAAACAAAAAACAACACGGTTAAGCCCGCTCTAGTCCGATTTTCATATATTATGTTAAACTTTATTTAAAAATTTATTTTATCTCTGAAGAACAATGTTTCAAAATTTTTACTTTAAACAAATTGTATAAAACAGTTTTATTGGTATTTAAATAATCATAATAAATCTTTCAAGAAAATGTTAACAAATAAAGTTATCCATCATAAAAACACTGGTTCTAAATAATTGGAAAATTTAAAAAAATTGTACATTTAAGTGAGGTGTTTTACTTATTTCTTGTTTTTGAATCTCTAAGTAACTATTTTAATTCTAAGTTAAATATTAGTTAAGCAGTAAGCACTGCAAAATTAATATATTAACAAAGTTATATTTCACATAAATTTTATAAATTGTGGTCAACCACTGAAATCTGATTCTAGCATGATCGTGTGACTACGTGAATTCTGACAACGATATATTGATTAAATTTTCATAGCTTGAAAATGGTTTTAAGTTCGCAGACATCAGATCATGAATAATATACAACCAACCTCATGAATGGTGAGATTAACATCACTGAAATTTCCAGCAACTCCCTCAGGCCGAAAAATGTACGCTCCAGATTCTAGTGTGAAATATCCAACACAGTTGACATAATTTTATTATCAACAACTTCAATCCAAACAACGCATTTCATTTATTTTTTTTACATCAAACCGAAACAATTGCGCACAAAATTGAAAAACCTTGTCAAACAACTGTCTGTTTTTATTTCCTCCCAAACTTTCTAATATCCCTAGTAACATTTGTTCTTCAAGGAAATTTTTCAAAAATTTTTCGCGGCTACTAAATTTTGTCTAACATTTTTAATTTAGATAATTAATTTTATCAATCTATCAAACAATCTTCGTTTAGCGCCAAGAGACCCAGTTCCCCCGAGGTAGGACGTTATTATTAATACTATATGAATTTATTTGCATGCTTTATTCTGGTTCCTCCTGTTTTAAAAGCTTTGCTGCAATTGGTGGAGTAAAACAATTTCGGTGTATTTAAAAAGATTTGATAGAATTCCCAGAGGCAAATTTAAAACAAGTTTACAAATATATATTTTTAAGGCAGCTCAAGAAGGTAACCGCGAAAAGCTCAATCAATACAAATTTTCATATCACCATCATTGCAATCATCATTCACTCCAGTTGTCACCGGATGAAGAGATATAGTACATTAAGGACTGCCTAGCGTCTATCTGTATCCGTCGTTCCTTGTTTTCAATCATGGATAGCAGGCCAGTGTTGTCATCGAAGGTAAGTTTCAAGTACTTGAAATGAAGTTAATTTAGAAAAAGACTGCTCAATTGCAAATTAATTTATGACTGGTACATTCAGGCAAGTTACTTCGTTTTCCAATGTTTTGACAGTTGAAGTACGATTGTGATCATCATTTCCAACTGATTGTGATTCAACGTTTTTCATTGCATCTGGAGTAATATAGTACATTATTATTTCGATAGCTATAGTAAGGAAAATTGAATTGTGAAATTCAAAATAAAACACACACCACACACGCACAGAGAGAGAGAGAGAGAGAGAGAGAGAGAGAGAGAGAGAGAGAGAGAGAGAGAGAGAGAGAGAGAGAGAGAGAGAAAGAGCGAGAGAGAGAGAGAGAGAAAGAGCGAGAGTACAGTTCCACTATAAAAAAAAACATTGGACTCTACATAACTAAGACTATCAGCCTCAGCTGAGTCAAACCCAGTGGCAACCTGTATCAGCCGCATGCGTCAGGTTTTTTTTAATTTTTACCGACATTACCATCATAGCAAGAGCAGACAAATATTCATCTATTTTATAAAGAGCCATTGAAGATGTCCCTAAAACAACAGCAGTAACAATGAAAAATAACCAACCATTAGACATATTGACGAAATAAGTAGCATATCCAAGTGAGGGTACATGAACGTGAAAGACGAGTTGAAACTGCGAAGTGCTACCTCGAAACTCTGCTAACTTTTTTGTCTCAGAACTGACAGGAATAAACTGAAGTAATGCATTCAGTGGTGTACCAATATCAATCGACTTAATGCACCGATTATTCTATCAAATTATCAGACAGTCACTTGAGTAAAATAACTTGGTTTATTAACAATCAATACTCATACTGTTAATGATAAACCTAAATGCAGCATCATTTATCAAAATTTTTAAACTGGCAGAACTCTACATAATAACGCCAAGTTAAAATTACGAAGCCGTGTAAAGATTGAATCCTTTAAAAAAAACTCGCTAGCTTACCTGAACATCCAACTTCTTGAGCTTATCATCAAAAACTGTTAACTGGTTTGAAGTAACCGGAAGCTTTATATACTGTCCAACCATCTGACTGAATGGGTTGTACACCACTACTGCAAACTTAAGATTTTAAAAAAAATTGTCAAAATTAAGATTTTTTAGGATTAAGTGAAAAAAAAGAAACAAATAGTTCTCTAATATATTTTTCGTGAAATTAAATATTGTTGAAAAAATAAATTACAAATCAACACAAAGTGTTTACTAAAAGCTAAAAAAATAAAACACGTTAAAACTATTTAATGAAAATTAATAAAAAAGGTTTGAAGAAATCCAACATTTTGGTTGGTCTCAGTAAATTTACAGCTGGAAACATTCATCAGATTACAAAACTGGAAATCTTCAATTGGATCCATGACTGACTTGTTCATGAGTTTGGATATCGACACTTTCATGACATCCTGTGTTCAAAAGTTCAAACAGTTTATTAACGAGTTTTAAAAAGATGGACGGGAATGGTGGGATAAATTGGAGCATTGGAATGAGAAGTAACAAACCTGACATTCCTTGATTCCAGTAGATAGCATCTTGGCATAATTGTAAGCCACGTATTGCTTGGATGTGCCACTGTGACGTAAAAATACTTATACTTAATGTAAGGGAAGTGAAACAGCAGGCCTAACATGGAATAATTATCTTGAAAATATAATAATAAGCAGAAGTAGAAGTACTGACGTGACTGCGTCGTGATGCTGCAGAACTCCCATGGACTGTTCTGTTGCAATGTTACAATTAATATAACACAGCAATCATCGTACAGACTGCATAATTCTATTGTTATATGATTAGCATCTAACAACTCAGTCAAATCGTTGCCATTATTATCAATATTATAAATACACTTCAAATTATTTCAAAAACACACCGACTTAACAAGAGAAAACCTAAATTACCTCGTGACTAATTATTAACCTAACAAGCGGAAGCTTATATTCAATCGATCGATCGATCGATCGATCAATCAATCAATCAATCAATCAATCAATCAATCAATCAATCAATCAATCAATCAATCAATCAATCAATCAATCAATCAATCAATCAATCAATCAATCAATCAATCAATCAATCAATCAATCAATCAATCAATCAATCAATCAATCAATCAATCAATCAATCAATCAATCAATCAATCAATCAATCAATCAATCAATCAATCAATCAATCAATCAATCAATCAATCAATCAATCAATCAATCAATCAATCAATCAAACAAATCAATCAATCAATCAATCAACCAATCAATCAATCGATCCATCGATCAATCAATCGACCAGTAAATCAAATAGTTTCTATAGCGTTATTCCCGCGATGTTCAACAGCACTGTTCATTGTTTTTATATTTGGGAATTGAATTAATTCCAGAACGATTTGACAAAGCATTTTTTTTAATATTTGAGAACTGAATTAATTCTGGCCGATCATGGATTCAAAGTCAGCATCAGCAAAACCAAAGCAATAAACACTGGTGAACCCATTCAATCCACAGCTACTGGACGATGGCCCTGTTCAGTTTGTAAAGCTGGTGCAGGTAACATTTCAATCAAGTGTCAGCAGTGTAACCAGTGGTGTCACAAACGTTGTTCAAAATAATTGGTACATTATCTAAAGTGTCCAATTTTGTTTGTCCTGCTTGCATCAATCCACAACAACAAATTTGAAATAGCAATGTTTTTGAAGCCATTAAGGTAGAGAAAGTCACATCGTTTCAATATCTAGGGAATGATCTGGATTGTGCTGGAACAGCTGAAGCTGCCGTTCGAGCACGCATACGTACAGCCTGGAATAAATGGCATCTCCTTGTCTCTTTATTGATGCAGCGTGACATCCCACTACCACTACGATCAAGACTTTATAAATCTATGATACGTCCGGTGTTGTTATATGTTGCAGAAACATGGCCAATGACAACCAAACTGGAACAACAACTTTACCGAACCGATATGAAAATGCTCCGATGGATGCAACGAATTAGTTTAAGGGACCACATCAAATCTACCGAAATCCTGAGTCGTGCTGGTTTAGATGATATAAAGGACGAATGCCGGCAACACCGTCTGAGGTGGTTTGGTCATGTCAAACAAAGTGGAAATAGTGCCATAACTTTTCTCGCAAATGTTGAAGTACCTGGCACACGTCCCAAAGGCCGTCCAAAGAAGTCCTGGTCGCAAACAATCGAGCAAGACACGAAAGCTCTAAATTTAAATGAAATGGATACAATTGATCGCCTAATTTGGCGCAAAAAATTGATGGCAAAGAAAACAACGTCCTACCTCAAGAGAACTGGGTCTCTGGACGCTAAACGATGATTGATTGATTGATTGTTCAACAGCACTGTTCAATGAATTTCAAAAAACAGATGGGTTTTGAAATCCGCTCTGAACTTCGTAAATGATGGAGATTGAGAAGGAGGTTGAGAGTTAACCCAAAAAGGGCCAAAAAAAGCAAACGCAGATTTTGCCTAAGAGTGCTTAACAGGAGTTAAGAAGTAAGAATGAAAATACGATGGTAAACTGGGGCGTTTAAAAAAACCATTCAAGTTTAAGTTTAATTAATATATTTGACAGGTACTTAGAAAATAATATAGATTAAGATTTATACATTAACATGCAAATTTTTTAAAATAATTTATATTTCATATGTAGTCAGTGTAAGAGAACAAGATGTGGAGATATAAGAGAAGAGTTAAAAGCTTTACTTGAAGGATAGAGTGTAGAATATTTAGACACAACACATTTTTTTTAAGCATCCCGTGACCTAAGAGGAAGAAGCTTAATTATTATTCCAGGAAAATCGCACAGATTAGCAAGAAAAAGCTTAAATTGTTTTAAAAACATCACATTGAACTAACAAGAAAAAGAACGATTTATGAACGTAGGAAAAATTGAGTGCAGAATACAATCAATAAATTGGCGATTGCTATATAAATATAATGATAACAATAAAACAACCACACTGATAGCGATTAAGAAAGATTACTGAGAAAGTTTATCTTCTTCTCTGTTGCATGCTCATCAACAAGTTGTGCAAATGCGCTCAATTGCTTGCATACCTGCCATGTTGAATATCAATAAATCTAATGATAAATAATAAAAAATTTAGTAAAATTCAATCCTACAATCCTTTCTTAATCATAACAAAAACTAGATAACAAAAACCACTTAATGCCAAAAAAACAGTGAACAGTTTCAGAGAGAATTTAAAACTTGTAACCAAACAAATCTCTCAACGTCAAACAACAGACTAACTTGTAGAATATTATTGGCAGTTCTCTCATAGCCCTTTAAGTTTGGTCTGCTGGTGAAATATCCAGTCCAAAATGTGTGGCCACTATGTGCATATGGGAAGAAATCATCGTTCTTGGAAGTGTACGTGAGGTTGGCCTTGTTGAGAGCATACAAGTAACAGGATGGAGTTGAAAACATGGCATTTATCTTGCTACCATTTGCTTGCTGCGGACGAAATGAATTCAACTAAAATAAACTGAAATAATTTACATGGACAATGGACATTGTGTCTTTACACTAGGAACAAAACATCTCACTCAATACATCGGAAGAAACATTATTAATATATAGGAACCGCACGTTAAATCAATTAATCAACCAGTAATAAACTTTATTCACTTTTTACGATTCATTTTTTCATCTTACCGACATTACTCATTGATGTTGCATTCTTAATTATATCAAAAAATTATCGTTTTCTGATGTAGTTTCATTCTACAAGAATTTGATTTTTTATTCAACGGTTTCCATTTTCTATTTCGGTAAGACATTAATGATTAAGACCAATCAATTTGAACTATTTCGTTAATATTGTTTATAATCATAAGACTGCAGGGTTCATATTTAAATCAAAAGAGTTTAATAACTATTTTGCATTGTTAAAAGCAAATTTGCATACTAAATACAATATGGAATCGCAACATAATTTACGCAAATTAATCCAACAGTTAATAGGAAATGGCACTCAAAATTAGCGATTTAAATTCAAACAAGTTTCCTTATGGAAAAAATACGTAACCAATTTTAGTAGGGGTTTTATAATTGTTTATGATCTTGCGTATTAATATGTACGTACACACAGAATGTATATAGACGAATATAAAGCTACAAATCCTGTTTGTAAATATTTCATACTTAGGAGACCCCGTTAGAAATACATTACATCGTACCACTTCAAGAAGTAAAATTTTGTTACCCTATATCATGAAAATTGAAAGCTAGAAAAGTTTGCATTTATGTGATGATTTAGAAATACAAAAATATCTTCTTCCTTGGCAAGATCTAGAAACAATAAAATAAGTACCTCGTTTTAAATAAATTAATATATTGCGAACATATACGCAGTTATACCAAAAAAATATAATTACATTAACCAATTTCAAATATTTTCCTGAAAAAGCTTTAAGTGTTTTTGAAAACAAGTGTAGAAATGCAAAAGTTGAGAACAATTATTAGAATTCGTGAGATTTCAAAAACAAGACGTCAACCACTGATTGATACAACGACTGATCAAAATAATTATCTTACCATGTTATGTAAAAGTTGTATATTAAAATAATGTATTATCAAATTAATTTTTGTTACTAAGTACAACCTTAGCGTTGACCAGCTTAATTAGCTTTTCGATGTTTTTAAAGTTAATCCTGGCATTTGAATACGAAAAATCTGATCCCATTGTCCACATAATATGATTGCTAGTAAAATATTTCGCCTGAAATTATGTCAAGAAGTCCAATAAATAAAGAAATTTAAATTTATGGCCAGATTTAATAAGACGGTGAACAATTAAATTCTTACAAACCTGTTCCATGGCGTCATCAATAAAGTTAGCTACTTTGTGGTCTCCATTGTAATCATCCAGCATAGGATCATCCTGTCGTTGATGGTTGATCAGATATTCATTGGCAGGTTGTTTACCATTATACAGTTAAGATTGAGTAAATGACTAAAATTGAGCCAGGGCTGAAAACTTAATTATAGAAAATCTTGTTTGAAAAACCTAAACGGTCTAAAATTTCAAATTTTGTTACTTTTTAAATTGGAAGATTAAAATTTAAAAAAATTTTCCATTTAACAATACAGTCTATTAACTTCGTGAACCCTGTACCGTGATTTTATTTAACATTCAGGCATCGTCAGTTTTCTATAGTGACATCCCAAATTTGAGCAAATGCATAACGATTTTTCGGAGAGTTTTACAAAAAAATTGAATATTTATATGGGTAAAAACTACACGCGGCGTCCAAACTATTTTCAGAACCTTTATTCGAAAAATTCAGGTCATATATTTTAAAACTTCTTGATATTATAGTTTTTTGATCTAATAACATTGGAATTTAAAAAATCTTAAAAGAATAAAAAGCTAACAAAAGTTTAAACATCTAAAAACTTTAATGATTTTTTCAGAAAAAAATCTGTTTTTAACAGCCCTGGTTTTGCTCTTCCTGGTTAAAAATGGCGCTAAACAAAATAAGCTTTTCAATATTTGACATTATGAAGATCTATCGAGCTCAACTTGAGCTCGAAATTGAGCTCGAAAAGTTGAAAGCAGATTTCAACAAAATTTTGATTACCAATGAAGACTATAAACTACATTAAATATATAATAAAACAATAAATTATTTTGCGGTAGATTTTGAGCGATGACGCTTTGAAAACGTGAAAATTTTCAAAAAAATTAATTTTTTGAAAATTGTCTTATGGGAAAAATTTTTTGTTTCGGGACAATAATTTATTCAGTTATTAGTGGATTCTATTACTATTTTCAAAATATTTCATCAAGATGTTATGATGGCTAGTTTGTGAAATATAGCCTTCTACACAGGCACAAGTTTTGAAAAAAAATCACACAAAAATTGGAAGGTGATGTCAAAAGATCTTCTTGAAAAATAATTGAAATATCTTTATAAAAAATTTGAGATACTTACTGTAAAAATTTTACAAAAAGTCGGAGATGATCTGGCGCGAACGTTTTTAAAATTGTTCAAGATGACAGAGAATGACCGATATATATATTATATATATATATATATATATATATATATATATATATATATAGGCGACCATATTTTATTCAGTATTGTATGAATTCTACGGAACTGTTGGCATTAATCAATTTAATGTTTGTTTTGTCTTCCATTTTCCTTACTAGAGCTTTTAATTAGTAATTCTAGTAAGGAAAATTAATTTGGTAGAATTCATACAATACACATTACGCATTAATCAATTTAAAGTTTGTTTTTTCAATTTTTCAATTGAAAATTTAAATTTTCCTGATGAACTTGGATAATTCTATTGAAATTGAACGATTTCCAGAAAATTTTAGTAAAGAAAATTGAAACAATAAATTGATTAATTGATTAATGCCAACAACACACACACACACTCACACACACACACACACACACATATATATATATATATCTAAACATATGTATATTTTGTTCTGAAAAAGATTTGTTCTTTAACTGGTCGGTTGACATACCCGAACTGGCGGATCGTCACATTCGAAGCAGTAGCCAGGGGGTGTGGTGTACGTCGATCTATGGAGAGACGCCGTAAACATTGAGGCTTGATCACCTGTATAAAAAAAATTTGGTATAGGTGATGTCCATTGTTTTTAAGTAAAATTACTTCTCGAAGTTCCACCAAAAAGGAAAATAAAGAATTATATGGCAAGCAAGCAGTGCCGGCTTGGCATGGTCGGAAGTTTGGCAGTCCTCGAAAGTCCAGGGACCTCATGGGCTTCGAAACGTGTTTTTTCAATTGAATTTTTTTTTAGAAAATGAAATTGAAAAAAATATGCACTCAAACATTAAAACAATTGAAAAAATTATCGCGCATTCATAATTATATAAAATCCTCTCTATTGCTACCATACACACGCGCGCTCAAAATCATTATCATGCGGTCAAAACTATAACCGCAATCATTGTAACAGCCGCAATCATTATTATTCTGTATTTTCAACATTTTGTAACTTTTTTTAACATACTTCTATACAGAATTTCATGATTAAGGGTATAAATAAAATATTAATGTAACAAATTTAAAAATTAGAATAAAGCAAAATTTTTAGAATGTGGGGGCTCCACGAAATGGTATATTTCCGACAGTTTCTGGAACATCCACGTCACCACTACAAGCAAGGTTGTTGTGACAGCACATGTTAAATGGTTTGTGAAAATACTGAACTGTAACATTAGTTATAACGGCCTTAATGTATTTCTTTCAATAAGCAGTTTCTTTGAAGCAAGAGCAAGCAGCATGAACGTGAAACATTCATTATATTCTATGCAGGCGACCAACTATAGCAGTGGAATATCGCTTGTGGTTGATTACATAATGTCACAAAATGCTATCCAATCAATTTATAGTCCATATATTTTACTTAATATTTGCATGTCTACTTAGCCAGTGGCTGATCCAGGGGGAGGGCAGTGATGAACCCCACCAAGCTTTGCCACAATGTAGTATTTTCTTAATTAAGTGGCGGACTCAGTAGAGTTTATCAAAGATTCTACCATCAATGGAAAAACAAATTTTTTTACCAACCTTCAAATGATATCTGATAAATGTCAGAAATACAATTCAAAAACGGAAAAAATGGAAAATAATCATCTTTTCATCATTTCCTCCAAATGGCAAAAACAAAAATGAATTACATGACAAAAGTGACAAATATAATAACGAAGAAAATTGCATTGCAATTAACTTTACTTAAATAGTAAGTTGTTGATAGATTATCATTTGCTTATTTTATTATAATTTTTATAAACAAAAATTCAGTAGCACATAAAACAATATACATACACTGTGTGCTCACATCCATAAAAAAATTTATTAAATTACTCAAAACAAAAACTGCATATAAATACTGAAATAATGCAAAGTAATGAGATGAAAATTTAATTTTGACTAGCAGAATTTAAGGTAACCTAAAGTTGGACTGGAAAACCACATGTGTTCTAATGTTTTTGTTTTTATTCTCTCTTGATAATCTTGGTAATCAATTCGTGCCAAAAACAAGCCATCAAATCCAAACTGTTATTATTGTAATTTATTAAATAAATAGGTCTATTTTTGTAAAGTCTTTTTTAGATGCAAACACACCAATATGTTAAACAAATCTAACTTGGGCAGAGATGGAAGCCAGTTCTCTGGAATGACCAAATGGATCTATTTGCCAGCCAATTTTTGGTATTCCACATTTTCCGAAATTGTCAAGAAGAAATTTGAAACCGATGGTGTGCTGGTCGATGATGGATGAGTAATGAGTGCAAGCCTCATCGTTCATGCTCCAACCTCCCAATATGAACTCTAACTGACCTGTATCAATAAAGCACAGTAAATGTGGTTGTAATGACCATCTACATCAAAATTTTAATAATATAACTTTTATAATTAGCAGAAAATAAAATTATCATAAAAACAACTTGATTTATAATATAATAAATTTCAACTATTCTTATTTAGAAAAAGACCTCTATTGACAGTTTTTTTAATAGATTGTTTCATATGATCAGTCAACTCATTCCACCATCTATAGAAAAATGCCATCTCCACGTAAATAAATTTCTTTTTTGGATCGGAATTAAGTTCAAAGTTGACAGTGTCCAAAATATATTGTACAGCTGTAAAAAAAATGAAGTCAGTTGAAAAGTATAATCACTGAAATGCAGAGGAATTTCAAACTAATAACATTTTTAGTTTTTTTACAATAATTTATTAACTCATTTTTTTAAACCAGCCATTAACAATTTAACATTTCAAAACTAATATACAATCTTAAAAGCAAAAACAAAAGTAATAACTAACTTTTGTAATAATATCCATCAACAGTTTGCAACCATCCAACATCATCATGACTGTGAGCAACAAGGTGCACATTCAACATATTTGGCTTTCCCAAATCACATTGCTAACATCATGAATAATAACGATTCATTAAAATTAAATACAAGTGAAACGTAGAAAATAGAAATGAATACTTTAAACTTTTTTTTAATAACGTATCAATGTCCAACCTCATAACCACAAGACGGCTCGCTATCAGCTTTCTTTTCTTCCTCCTCGTTATGGTTTACGTTGCATCTCGGCTTTTCCGATTCTTCTACGCCTACGATTGTATGTGTATTCACTTTTTCCTTTTCATACGTTTTTTCTTTAAAAAGGTAGATAGAAACGCCCAAAATGAAACAAATGTTCAGAAATTTCCACCACTTGAAATGTCTTGTTAATATGGGAACTGCTAAATATCTGCCCATCCCGCAATTTAAACGACAGATTCGTCGGCTTCAAGTTAATGTAAACAAACGCGAAAGCCGTTGGTTAAGAGCTGAGGCTTCGAATAAAGAGTAAATATAAGATAAGCAGTTTTTAATAGAGTCCACATAAATTTCTCTGTACAATATATACAATATATTCTATTATATGAAAAATAATTTATATGAATTATATGAATATTATATTCTCTATTATATGTATATGCCCTCTCTCTCTCTCTAGATGTATATATATATATATATATATATATATATATATATATATATATATATATATAAACATATACATACATATGTGTGCGTGTGTGTGTGTATTTTATACATAAGTCGATATAAAAGTTATATCATCATTTTAACATATTTTCGTTTCGTGTATCTTGCTGTTTGTTGCCAGGCGTGCAGCTTTGTGATAGTTTAGCTAATTAATTTTTAACCTTAGCCAGGTTCAAATTCTGAACCTGGCTAAGGTTGAAGTTAAAAAAATTGGTGCAATGAAGGAATGCTGACCTCGGTATATTTTCATTGACATCTTTCATTTGAATAAATAACTGGATAAGGTTAGGTTTAATGCAAAGTAGTAAGCCGCTACCGTCACGAGACTTTAAAAAAAGGGGTCTCAACAAAACAGAAAATGTAACTTGATAGTTGTAACATATTTTACAGTTGTTAAAAACACTGATTTCATATAAATAAAATTATGTTACAAAAGTTCTCTTACGCTGAACAAGTTCAGTCAACGATGATGATGATGATGAATATGATTACAAAAATTATTCTTTCTACCTCAAAAAGTGCTAAATAAAAATCATAGCATTTAAATTGAAACTTCTCACATTTATTTACTAGATAAACATATCTAATGCCGGAATAAACTATTTATTAATATATTAATAGTAAAAGTTCGTGCACAGTGTCGACAACTGCGTTACAGATGTTAATACAATGTTGAATATTATTGATACAGTTGGAAATTTAGACAATATTTCGTGTACAGGCGTGTTCGTATCATTGATTGTGTACATAAATTTGAATAAATTTATATTCCCATGTATGCTTAGTAAAGCTAGCTTGAAAATTTTTGTTTCAACGAACAAGTTTTATTTTATTTTATTTAAATATTATTTCTATAAAAACTAATATAACTTAACAAAAATGTATTTAAAATGAGCGCTAACTAAAAAGCCATTATACTATGCCCATATCAAATAAAAATTAACCTAAGTTCCCTGGATAAAAAAAAGAAAATAACAAATTAATATGAAACACTTCACAAATTTGCCTGCCATCCTAACATCATAAATTATTTTTTTGATATCACTATTAAGTATATTTTATATCTAATTTTATTTGAACATAAACATCTTACCACTTTTCAAGGCAGCGTGTGTGTTATGCATACGCTAGACTTTTGAAAAACAAAATATTATAAGTGGAAACTTCAGGGCGGATAAATGAATATCAACCAATAACAAAAAGTAGTTATTAATAATAATCGGGTGATTTCTCTTCAGTTGCTATGCAGCAGATAAATATAGGCTAAACAGAGGATGTTCAATTGATGCAATTATAGTAAGGACTAGATACTTGATAGAAAGAGTATGACAGTTCATATAGAAAGGAGTACTCTACTTCGAAAACCCTGCCAATATTAAAGTTTAAAAAGTATACCTTAAACTTTAGGGCCTAAAGTAAATCAGAGGAGAAGCTTTTTGCTGGAACTACCAGCTGTGTTATTCTTTTCAGCTCCTTCTGCAGCAAAGTTGATGCCCAATGTAACGGGGAAGAAGGTTTCATAACGCATGGCCATGATAATGATACGACTTAATTTGTTTGGGTTTAAGATTTTTACTAACTTTTTTCAGTTCGATAGTTTTCTGATGGGATTCTTGTTGATTCTGTCTAGTTTTTAGGTTTAGTGATATCTTTTTTATAATTTGATTTATTTTATATTACACTTTGATTTATTTCTTTTTATAATTCAAAATCCTACATTTTAATCAATAATCATATATATATATATATATATATATATATATATATATATATATATATATATATATATATATATAACTACAAACATATTAACGCCAAATATTCGGTAGAATTTATAGAATATTGTAAAAAAAATATATATATATATAATATATATATATATATATAATATATATATATATATATATAATATATATATATATATATATAACTTATTTAGCTATTTAGAAAATCAGTAACAAACGAGGCATGACACATTACAAAAAAAATCTTCTAGCTAGCCCTCCACAAAGACACTCTCGCTATAGCTTCCGAGTTCTTTTGTCCTCTTTTGATCTGCTGTGAATTTAGAACAATTGAACAAATGCTAAGGCATTTTTAATCTTGTAAAATGAACAAATACCTCTTGCCTATTACAAGTTAAGTGCAGTAGATAAAATATAAAATGAAAATATTTATTTAAATTATATATTTTAATTTCAATTCATACCGTTAATATTACTATCATTCTATATAGTATATTACTGTATTACATTTATATTACAATCAACTATTATAACTATCATTTTACTGTACGATGCTTGGGAAATTAATTTTCCTCATATTTTTCTACGTCGTCTTCGACAAGCAGGAAGTTACAGGTGAACACGTTATCATCTTCCAAACCATAATATAAACTAATTAATTAATAGCTATAAGTTTTAAAAAATTATTACAGAGTTATGAACATTTATTTTGATGTAACAAGTTTTACAATTAATGATAGCAAATTATATTTCTGTAACATCATTTGCAAGACTTCCGTTATAATTTATCACACGGCAACTCATAATTTTCAATCCGATTTGTATTTGTTCTTCATTACGCAGCTCGACATGCACAGAATCGTTTAAATATCAATATCATTCTATAATTACAGTTGAACTTTTTAGAGTCAAAACAGCTGTAACATCCACTCCACACGTCGCTCAAACACATTTTATAAGCTGGCACCGCATCATACACCTATGACGTATGGTAATATTTGAGTTTCGGACAGACGGCATTCGAACCAAGTCATCAGGCTATAACAACGCGGGACATGGCACTTCTACCGACTGGACAAATTTCATCAATCAAAAAGATTTTCGTTATATAAGTTTCTAACTGAAAACTGAAATATTAACACCTATGTATTAAAATAACGTGAAACACATTGACTGAAAGGTACAACTCCCGACCAAAAGTTTCTTCTTCTGTCTGTCAACGGAACAGTTCTTAACAGCACCGTTACAAAAGTAGTTTTCAAAATAAATAAAATCAAAACATGGATATGAATATTTCTTCAAACAATATTTAAAATGCAGAATGGAGAGCACGTGCAGCAACTGACCATCGATCTGACCACTGCCAGCAACGAAAATTTTATTTTGGACTTGCACATGAACACGTGAGAATTGATGTCTAATGTTCTTTAAATTGTGTTTAAACATAATAACATAGACTATACTAATTGTTACTTATTGAAGGCAACTTTTTTCATCGAATTATGAAGAACGGGTCGTTGATGCATCAAACATTCGTTACAATTCTTTTGCTCAAGTGAAAAGTTTTTCAAGTTATCGATATATAAAAGGCATTTGAAATTTTTTATTTAAAAAAATTACTAGTCAATGGATAACTGTTACTACATTGGTGATGTCAGAGGCTATCCCGGATCGAATGCAGCTATCAGTACTTGCGGCCAACAGATTATGTTTGTTTCAAAATTTTCACTTTTGTAAATTTGCTTAAAATAACCGCGATGATGCGAGTGGCGCATACTATGAGGTGAACGTTTTTGTTTCAGTGGCTCATTCATTGTGAACGGCAAAACCTATGACATTCAACCTGTTCCTAACTCTAAATATTTAGCGGCAGTTCAAGAGGCAGACGGTCCTGTAAATGATTTCATTTGTGGTTGGTTATTGTTTGTTATTATTTTTACAATACATCAGAATTTAACTGAAACATTAAATTAAATCATCATCCAGGTGTGGACGGAGTGAATAAAACTTTGAAGCAGTTGGTGAGCTGGTTTTTTGATTTCAAAAATTTTTCTAAACAAAAGCAGTAGCACAGGTATCCTGCTCTGCCTTCAAAATAAATCTTGTTGCGGATTCAGAGCTTGTAATTTTTAATAGGTTACAACCATCCCTGCATACCACATTAAAATTCAAGAGTCACGATTTTTTGAAAATTAATTTAACAAACGAACTAAAACCTAAACCTTTAACAAACAAACGCGCATGTCTGAAAATGGGAAAAGCCACAAAAAACATGAAACTGAACAGGTGTCTACGCCAAACCCCAAAACGACAAAACATTAACCTCCTTTTTAAACCGTAACTATACTAACGGTCGGTAATTGCGCGTTTTGAATTTTTTGATTTGACGCATTTTCAGAAGCGCGCGCGCTCTTGATTCATTCATTGAATTGTTTTACAGAAAATCACATGACTCTTGAATAAAGAAGTTTAGATAAAAATGTAACAATACAAAATTTGAACTAATTTACGTTTTTGTCTAATTTATGTTCCCATATTTCTTATTTATGTGTGCCATTTTTGTCTTGTCGTTAAAAGCAAGAGACATATATTCACAAATTAACTCCTCTAATCAACACGTATACTGCTCAGATTTTGCCCTTAGCACATTTACTTCTTTTTTTTATATAAGCTTCAGACATTCATTCATTTAATTTTCACTACCATTTATTTTTATATTTCGTTAATTGCATATTTTTCAATTTGTTGCAACATACTCAGTGTTTGCCGAAGTCTAATATTTTTTAATTGATTCGAAAAATTTTATTTTAGTCTAAAAGGTCATTGACTTCGTTGAAGGACCAACGGAATAGAATCGTTGAATTATTCGTTTCTGGTGACACGCTTTTTGTTAGTAATACTGAAATCCATTTTTTGTGTTTGTATGTAAATTGTAAGAGACTTCAATATATATTTTTTCTAGATTCTTTTGGGTTTCGTCTAATATCGATTTTGTCATACACTTGAGATACGATACTTTATTATAACTAGAGTATTGCTTCAATTTTTTACGCCATTTATTCCCTATGACCATGACCACTATTCAAAGAACATTTTCGAGCTGTTCAAATTTTGAAATCTACAAAAATAAAAACATCCACTTAATTATTGTACTTTTAACTAAATCATCTACACCTCAATCTAAGTTATGTATTCGTTACATATTTAAGTATAGTATTGAATACGTAGTATACAATTTAGGACTTAATTTGTTATGTGTATTTCAAAATTGAATCCGTACTTCGAAGTTCGGGACACACCCACACACACAACCACCCATCTATCCGCACCCTTCTCCCCCCACACACTACACAATATGTTCAAATCAAACGTCAAGCGATAACGATCGCGCCATGTCTAGACAGTTTAGCCTCGATCCTCCCACTTATTCAATGTAAAGTGGAGTACTTGCACTTACCTATTAGAATGGGATGATCTGAAAAAATACTATTTGTAAATCTTATAGGCGGCTCTAATAGTCGATTTGATGTTACCGAATGTTCTTATTAGATAATTAAAATGAATTTTTCGTTAGTACCAAGCTCTAGGTAGTTCAAACAATGCCGCATTTAACAGGATCAAGTCCGTTGTCAATGCTGCCAACGCTGTTAGTTCGTTTTCATCTTCTAAGAGTTTTTTTTATAACTTTTTAGCGTTTTTAACATAAATTCAGTTTTTACAGTTGTTGGAGTTTTGTTTATAATATAAAAACCAAAAAAATTATTTGAAGCCTAGCACAAAATAACTTTTGATACCTGGTTATTTGACGAGACGCAGTGCTGATTTTGTAGAACGTGCAGGGGTTATTATATCGAGCATAAACCAATTTAATGCTATTAATAAGCAACAGTTCATAAAAGTTTTTATAGGAAAAATTCCGTTGACTGATTATAAAGCTGAAAGTGCTTCTTAAGCATAAACTTTTTAACGTTTTAAACTTTCAGATAAAATCTTAAAATTTTTTTAAAAACTTATCGTTAAAGTTAAAAATATAAATTAAAATATATTAAAATCAAATTTTGCTTAACGTTCTTTGAAGTTATACAACAGTGTGGGTATCTATTTAATACTGGTGGGTTCAGATATTTGGACTTCACAGCAAATCACTGTTGACCCGGACATATCAAAAACTCTGGATAACTGGTACATATATAAAGCCAACTCTCTCAACGGGAGAGTCGCCAGCCATGATCACGCCGCTCTCATTTCGTTAGAAGTTTTAATTGTATATTTTAACTAGCTTTTGAAATCACGATTGTATTTCTTGTGCAGAGCTCAAGTATTCACTTCAAACATAGTTGGAAAGGCCATGTTAGGAAAGATGTGCGACTCTATAAACTCGGGAATCGTCATTGAAGTAGCGGTTTTTGTTTTTTTTTCTATTGATTTCGAGGAGTTTTATTTTATTAAAATTGTTTGTGACGTTCTCAACTAAAAATCTAATTTCTAACATCAAGGACCGCGGAACAACTGGAGCAGCATATCCGGCAGCTATATTAACCCACGAAATGGGACACAGTTTTGGGCTAACGCATGATGATTCATGCGCCTGCAGCGACGCTGCTTGCATAATGAAAACTTCAATCAAGTATTTCTAAATATTCTATCAAAGATATATCACTTATAAATTTACTATTGAATGTTGATGTAAGGTTAAGACTGAAATTCAGATTTTTATTTCAATTACAATAATTTAATAGTTTTTAATAATATTTAAAATTTTTTAAATTATCATAATTATTTATTTAATAGTCCCAGCAGTCCTCCGACAAAATTTTCGTCGTGTTCGTTGAATGAATTTGCAAACAATTGGATTAAAGGTTATGACCTTTGTTTGTGGAACATTCCAGACATCGTCGCATCTTCAACCTGCGGAAATGGAGTGGTGGAAGATGGAGAGACGTGTGACTGTGGAGGGCTACCTTCCGACGTAATTAACTACTTTCAATTTCGTTTTTAGATAGTAACACGAAATGGTTTATATTTCATTTAACACGTTTTACAAAGGTTTGCAATCCGTCCTGTTGTAATAAGGTTACTTGCCAGCTCGTTTCAACGTACCAATGTGCTTCTGGTCTCTGTTGTGACCTGCCCACGTGCAAAGTGAAGTTTCTTTAGTTAATCATTCAATCAATTTTGTTGAATTTAATTTTGAAAGTTTTATTCTAATTTTTAAATTTAATATATTTTAACAGTTTTACCAAGCCAACACAGTTTGCAGAGGAGCCAGTGGCACGTGCGACATTCAGGAATTATGTGGTGGCACGTCAGCTTACTGTCCCGAGGACACGTACAAACACGATGGCACCCAGTGCGCTGTTGATGGAGTTAGTAATAAAAAGTTGTTTATAAGTTTTGGTTTTGATAATCTTGGTTTTCTAAATTAAATTTTACATTTAAAAATAGATTCGTTTTGATGATTGTTTTTGTTTTTGTAAATGAACAATTTTTATTTATAAATAATTTGTCAATAACTCTGTACCTACTACACGCGTTAATACGACCACCATTACAAATCTGTTTGCTTTGATTTCTGGTTATAAATTCGTAACGCTTCGTCTCGTTAACTTCATCACTGATATCATAAAAGTTTATCAATTTTAATTCATAACTCCGCAGGTAACAGCTTATTGCTCGGAAGGCAAATGTCGAACTCGTGACACACAATGCGCTTTCGTGTGGGGCAGTGGAATCAAAAGTTCTCCAGAGTCCTGTTACACTAATAATAATATGAAGGGGATGTTTTCAGGAAGTTGTAGACAAACGTTAACACTCAACCCAACTTATTATCCGTGTGCTGCAGGGTTTAGACATATTTATTATTTATAATTTTTTATTTAATAAATATATTTTTAACTGATTCAAAAAATTGCCATTTATTTCAAAAGTTTAAATTTACATTCCATTTTGAAGTGATGTTTTATGTGGCCAGCTATTTTGCGATACTTCTAAATTTAGCAACACTCAACTGCGATCTAATTCCAATGGATACGTTTCATTCGGTACAACACTAACATGTATTTTCGCCATTTTCAACTTTGGAACACAAATTCCGAATCCTGGCTATGTTCCAAATGGAGCCTCTTGTGGAAACAACAAGGTAAATTATCTCAAACTATTACAAATTATTTCGTTTTTAGTATTTTATTTAAAACCAAATTCGTCAAATTTATATCAGCATAATTTCTACGTAGATGTGTTACAATAATGCCTGCACACCTGTGTCCGATATTTTGTCCATTACTTCTTGTGCAAGCAGTTGTTCGAGCACTGGAGTTAGTTTATTTTTTTAGTTTCACTAAATTTTGTTTCACGTTTATAAATTACTAATATAATTAATTAAAAATTGTTTTAAAATAATAATGAATAGGTCTGCAACAATAAAGGGACCTGTCAATGTTCAAATGGTTTAACGTATCCGCAATGTTCTGGCAACATAATCACAATTGTGCCTCCAAGTGGTACCACCACCACAACTACTACTACAACTCAAGCTCCAAAATTAAACAGATCGTGTGTCATTAATTATTCTATACCTTTATTGATAATTCTTTTAATCATGCTTTTTGGTTTGGCAATTTAATCAGTTGAACTTCAATTAAGACTGAAGTTTTAATGTTAACAGAAACTATATTATTCTACAAAACCGTTGACATTTATCAGGCAAAATTTTTGAATTAAAAGTTTTTGAATTATATTTGCTTTTTTTCCGTGATAATAAATTTTATTCAGAATTATTGTATATTATTATACATGGCAGTATTATTTAACATAAAGTTTCAAAACTGTAACTTCCTAAAAATTTGTATGCGCTTCGTTCAATTGAATTGAAAACTTACAGCTGAAGATGAAGTTCTTAAAGTTCAATAATAATAATAATAATTTTGGAATGCCTACCTTAATGACCTCGCTCAAGAACCTATGAGTACTGACCTGTGCGAATTTTACGGCGCTAGGCTGGATGCAGTACACGGTTTTGGGTGCGTGATGGTGGCTGGCTGGTTGTTCAAATTATATGTAATTACGCGTGCATTTGACTCTATGTGTGTCTTTTGTTCATGCATATGAGGAAATTAATATTGAGCGCACGTCGTAAAATGTCTATCGGGGGTTCAAATTTTGAGAAATGCTTATTCACTTACAATTGAAGAGCTATTAAATATTGTATTAACCCATTAAATTGAATTTTTTATTTCCTTACTTTTTGATAATAAAATGAACAAAATGATTATTGGTTTTATTTAATATGAATAATGTCAAAATGTGTGGAATAAAAGCAAATAAAGCCTGTACTTTTTAAAAAATATTCATGCTACCACATAGTGTGTTAAGATTTTCAACACTATATCTTGATTTTTCCTGGTTTCATGTTGTGCGAGTTATGAATCAAAACCCTGAACGTTTAAAAACTGTTTACAAGAAAACTTTTTAAGATATCCTGTTTATGCAGAGTTTGTCATTTCAACTTCAAATATCACCAAGGGTTGTTAATAAGTTTTCAATTGAAAAAAATGAAAAATTTGATGTAGATATGTGAATGTTAAACAAATTCGTTGTAGCTTATTTAATTTATTTCATAAAAATGTATTATCGTTAATACACTTTTCCTGAATAATTTTTGTGCACGCAATATTTATCAATAATATTTTCATTTCGTTCAATCTTCAGTTTCCTCCATGCAAGTGCAAGTTGTTAACAGTCAATAGTTTGCCATGGATATAATATATATATATATATATATATATATATATATATATATATATATATATATATATATATATATCCATGATACTTTGCAAAGATGTTTTGGTTGCTTGTGAATAAAGTCCGAATCCTTTTTAAACTTTCTAAGCGTGTGTATATCGAAGATACAGACACAACTGCAACTAAGTTGCTAACGTTGTTAGAGCCTATCGTAAAAATTTAGAGGCACAATAAAGCGTAACCAAGGATGATTTGTTGAGATTTTTGTAGGGTTAAGGCTAAAACTTAATACCTTAAAAAACTGAAAACATCATTTGTCTAAATTTATGCTGCATTATAAGACTCCATTGAACATACAATGTTTTAGAATATAAAATTGTATTCTCTGTATACGATGGACTCATAATTAGAATAGGACTCAAACATTTAAAAATTAAAATCTTTGCAACTCTTTCCGTAACTATACGATTATTCACTCTTGTGAGAATTGGCGATAAACAATAAATGAAGAGGTTTTATATATAGAGAATATACATATTTATATGTGTTAAGTCATATAATTAGAATAAATAAATAAAGTGTTATATTCGATATTTATAAAAGAGGTACATAACTTTTATCTATGTTTAACCTGTTAAACTATTTTGTCTTTGTTGTTTCATAAACTATAAAATGCATAAAATGCTTAGAAATCATTATCTTCACCATCTATTTCCAAGCCATTTATTGTTTCATGAGACTGAACTTAGCCACAATGACCGACCTATATAATTTTATAAGAAAGAAACGTAAAAGAGAGAGAATACAGCAAGCCTGCATGCATATGCGATATATGTTAAATTATGTTATATGATATATGCTGTTTAAATAGCAGCTGACATGTATGTATGTTATTATAAGCTTATATGCTATATTATGTTATATGTTATATGCTGTTAAGTGGCAGCTAACAGGTATGCATATATACATGTATATATAATTATAAAATTATATAGTTATATCGATGCTATAAAAATATATAATACTGTAGTTGTGTGTATTTGATAATCCTATTAATTTCTATTACTTATTAGTAAATTAAATTTTGTGTGGTGTAAATATTAGATAATAATTATTATTTTACTGCTGTATTTGTAGAAAAACATACACAATGAACACACAATGCATTTTTTTAAATCAATAACGATTAAAAAAAAACTTTTGCCATTTCTTGATGATCCTACTCTTCTCTTTCTTGTTACTTCGTTAGTCTTATCTAGGATTGATTATTGTAACTCGCTCTACTATGGCCTACCTGACTCTATACTCTATCCTTTAAGTAAAGCTTTTAACTCTGCTGCTCGTCTAGTTGCTCGTGCCCCTTTCTTTTCTCATATATCTCCATATCTTGTTTTCTTGCACTGGCTACCTATAAAATATAGAATAATTTTTTAAATTTGCACGTTCATGTATAAGTCTCAATTTAAATTATTTCCTAAGTATTTATCAGATATATTAATTGAACCTAAACGCCTCGGTTTACGATCGTCTTCTCGCTTTTTCTTAACTCGTGTTAAACACTCTTTTGCTAAATCTGCTTTTGCTTTTTCTGGTCTTTTTTCTGGAACTCTCTACCTACTTCTCTGACTACTTCTCCATTACTTGCAAAGTTCAAAGCGGATCTCAAGACCCATCTGTTTTCAAAATTCATTGAGGAGCGCTGTTGAACATCGCGGAAATAGCGCTTTATAAGCTAATTGATTGATTGATAGTTAACAGTTATAGAAACTCAATTCTATTTGTTAATCATTAGCAATAAATAAATAATTTAAAAAATTTATATCAACTACATATACTTAAAATTAGGGATGCACCGACGTTTGGCCCCGGTTAAAATCCGACTTTTTTTTAAATCCGGCCCCGGCCGGATTTGCTGGCCGAATTTAAGCGTCTATCAACATTTAAAAATGTTATAAATAGAAAATTTTTTATTGAATTCAATTAATTTTACGTCAATAAGTTAAAGGCTAAGCATATATGACACATAATAACAACATCACTAATTGTGAGGTGAGCTGGACAATTTTCTTTATGTTATAACATGGGTTATGCATAAATTATGAGCTGATCTTTGTGTAAAAGAACTTGTGCACGTGTATATACTATATAATTGTATATAATGGATCATATAGCTACATATTATTTATATATATAGACATAAGCGCGTAATTTAAGAACATGGTATGTTAAAGGTTAGGCTAGGCATACATGACAGATAATTACAACATCACTAATTGTGAGGTGAGCTGGACAATTTTCTTTGTGCTATAACATGGGTTTTGCATAAATTATAAGCTGTGCAAGTGTGCACGTGCATACATGGCACATAATAACAACATCACTAATTGTGAGGTGAGCTGGTCAATTTTCTTTATGCTATAACATGGGTTATGCATAAGTTATAAGCTGATCTTTGATCACAGAATTTGGCATATCACACAACTTATTTATATATTTGAATTAATTAACTATTTGCTTGGTGTTATTTTTTGATGTTCAACATAACCGTAAATTTGAGTATTTTTTTAACGTATGTAAAATGGTAACTAAAATCCGGTTTAAATGTAGTGTGTTTAAGCGTCTCTCTGGTTACTATTTTAATAAAATGACAACAACACAATTTCACTTGTACAATTTTAATAGGAATGACGTCACTGGTTACCCATTTCATTGCATATTGCAAATACGTCGGAATTTCCATCGTGTTAAATCCTTTCAAAACAGCCTCAATAAGTGCCATAGAAAAATCGGTTACAACATTCGAATACAAAGGCCATTCTTTCAATTTTTTTGAGACGTAGTGCTTATAGTCAATAAGTACTTGACTTATGTGATACACGTCGTGCCTACATGTTACAAAGTCGATCATTGGAATTATTCTATTATCTACCGAAATAACACCAGTGTAATAAAAAATTCTCTTCTGCTATGAGCTGGTCCTTCTTATCACCGATCCTGTCGAATCAAAATACAACACTGGCAATATGTTCTTTTTTTGGTTTGTTTAGCAACTTCAACCTGTTTGTATAAATATGAAACGATGCATAACGGCTCACTAACATGTTGTATAAATCTATCACTATCTGAAGCAAGTAGTTCTTTTCTTAGCTTTATAATTACATCAAAAACGTCATCTTTATCCTCATCGTCAACACTCAATGACTCAGATCTAGCATTAGCTAAAACGTCATTTGAGTGAATTTGCATCATGTTACCTTGATGCACTTATCATCGGAGGCATTAATACAGTCTATTCGGACAAGTGACGGTAGCTTATTAGCCAGTTTTATTTATCTGTGATTTCTTTCTAAACCTCTCAATTGTCTTTTTCCTTTTCCTACGTAAAAATAGTACTTTGTTTGTTAAAATTTTACAATTGACCAATGAATCAGACGGACTGGGTAATTTGATTTGCAAATTTATTTATTTACAAACATACATACGTACGTACATACATACTCACACACGCACACACACATATATAAACATATATTGGTATGAATGTGAAAATTATAAACTGTAATCATTGGTTCGGGCATAATGCATGCAGAACCAATGGCACCGCTCTCAACTAACCTAATGATGAACTACGTTGTGCGATTGGCTGCAATAAACAGGGCAGACATACACGAGCGCACACCGCTTAAAATTCAATACTAAAAAACATACTTTGATGCTACTCGACTGAAAAAATAGCACAACCAAAAAAGCCCATTGAATAAAACGCACATAGACATAAACGAAAATTGTTGAATTTGAAGTCAGTTAAATTTATCATTGAATTAATTGTTAAAGACATCGTTGGGTTATTTTGTTAATTATTGACACATACAATACACACACAATACATACACAAACACACCCACGCATACGCAGGCTAGAGGAACGTGTAATTTAAGTTTTTTTGTTGATCCATTTATTCACAATAAAATAAAGTGAAAGAGTCAGCCTAGCAATAAATGCTTATCTAGGGTTGAAGTGTTATAATGATTTTTATAATGAAATAAAAGCGATGATGGCAGACCAATAGTACCGACCACCATGTCTGCGGGTAAAATTTAATTTTGCCCAGCGATATCTTTCTGTTTCAGTCGCTGTGATACGACGCACAATGAAATGTGTTAGTTTTTCGAGTTTTGAACACCCTGGAAGGCTGTTTTTTTCAATGGCTGATATATTGCTGGAAAGGTAATTTAATTCTACATCAGTGGTAGAAATTTTTTTTTGAGGCCGCAATTATGAATGGTGAAAAAAAATATTTTTGTGATTCGATGCGCAATGAAAATGTTTTAGTTTTTCGAGTTTTGAACACCCTGGAAGGCTGTTTTTTTTAGTGGCTAATATATTGTTGGAAAGGTAATTTAATTCTACATCAGTGGTAGAATTTTTTTTTTCAGGCCGCAATTATGAATAGTGAAATAAAATATTTTTGTGATTTGATGCACAATGAAGTGTGTTTGTTTTTCGTGTTTTGAACACCCTGGAAGGTTGTTTTTTTTAGTGGCTAATATATTGTTAGAAAGGTAATTTAATTCTACATCAGTGGTAGAAATCTTTTTTTGAGGCCGCAATTATGAATAGTGAAATAAAATATTTTTGTGATTTGATGCGCAATGAAGGGAGTTTGTTTTTCGTGTTTTGAACACCCTGGAAGGTTGTTTTTTTTAGTGGCTAATATATTGTTAGAAAGGTAATTTAATTCTACATCAGTGGTAAAAATCTTTTTTTAAAGCCGCAATTATGAATAGTGAAAAAAAATATTTTTGTGATTTGATGCACAATGTAAATGTTTTAGTTTTTCGAGTTTTGAACACCCTGGAAGGCTGTTTTTTTTAGTGGCTAATATATTGTTAGAAAGGTAATTTAATTCTACATCAGTGGTAGAAATCTTTTTTTGAGGCCGCAATAATGAATGGTGAAAAAAAATATTTTTGTGATTTGATGCACAATGAAGTGTGTTTATTTTTCGTGTTTTGAACACCCTGGAAGGCTGTTTTTTTCAGTGGCTGATATATTGTTAGAAAGGTAATTTAATTCTACATCAGTGGTAGAAATCTTTTTTTGAAGCCGCAATTATGAATAGTGAAAAAAAATATTTTTGTGATTTGATGCACAATGTAAATGTTTTAGTTTTTCGAGTTTTGAACACCCTGGAAGGCTGTTTTTTTTAGTGGCTAATATATTGTTAGAAAGGTAATTTAATTCTACATTAGTGGTAGAAATTTTTTTTTGAGGCCGCAATTATGAATGATGAAAAAAAATATTTTTGTGATTTGATGCACAATGAAGTGTGTTTGTTTTTCGTGTTTTGTACACCCTGGAAGGCTGTTTTTTTCAGTGGCTGATATATTGTTAGAAAGGTAATTTAATTCTACATAAGTGGTAAAAATCTTTTTTTGAGGCCGCAATTAATAATATTTTTAATCGATTTTTATGTTGAACTTACTGTCAATTTTTTTATGTTGTTCAATACATCATACAATCATTGTTCATACATGCGTTACTTAAATATATAGAATACATACTTTACATACATTTCAATGATCAGTTAAGGATTTATATAGCTATACAATTATTGGTAACATATATGAACATCTGCTGTGCATTCAGCAGATGGTCCTCTCTTTTTTCACGATCTCTCCGCGCACATAATATATAGGTCGGTCATTGTGGCTGGTGGCTAAGTTCAGAATCATTATTGTTTCGGCTTTTCTGATTAAATATCAGCGCATTCTCTATATTTCATGACGATTTAACTAGAAATGTCTTCGGTACTTCCGTTGTAGTGTTATATAAAATTTTCTAAAACTGAAATTTAGAAACATTACAGGAATTTAGAGATTGGTCTTGCTTGTACAATTTAAAAAAGTTATATTTATATTGTTATTCAATTGCTACCGTCAGCTGTTTCGTTATTGGTCCCCGTCGAGATGCCGAGACATGCGAGGAATAGTACTGCTGGGTCTGTTTACACATACCATGAAAAATTGAAAGATTCATATCAGAGTGGCTACGGATCAACCAAAGTTAGATTAGGGAAAGATTCCATCAAGGTACATATTTTATTTTTATAAAATAAAAAGTAAAATATTAATACATAAAAATAAAATACAATTAAAAAAATTAAAATTAAATTAAAAAATAATATTAAATAAATGTTAATTAAGAAATATGTTATTTTTAATTACTAAAATAATTATACCAAAATATGTTTCAACTAAATCTAATTGCAAATGGTTTATTTCTAAATAAAATATAAATAAACCATCCATTTGAAAGTGGATGAAGCGTTTCATTTGTGCTAAGCTAAATATTATTTAGTAAATGTCAATTATTAGGCTAATGCTAATATAATTATTTATTTGCATCTAATTGTTATTATTTATATTTTCAACATTAATTATGGTTACAAACTGTTTTTCCAGGATTTTGACTGCTGTAATCTGACGTTGCAACCTTGCTTTTATCCAGTCATCACGTTAGTATCATTATTTCGTTTTAAGTTTAGTTTTTTGATTTTTTTGCTAATCTTTTATCAATCTGCTTATTATTTAATATTTTTCCATTTTCGTTGTAATAATATGGTCAACGTGAAGCCAAAAAACGTGAAATATTCTTCAAACTGCAAACCAGCCTTAGTTGGTTGTGTATGATATTATTATATGTTATTAGTAGATTATTAAATATATTTGCAATTTAAATTTTTATAGTCCAGAGGGTTATCTGTATGACAAAGAAGCCATCTTGAATAATATTTTGGCTCAAAAGGTTTCTATTGCTAAAAAGTTGAAAGAGTACGAAAAGCAGAAGCAACAGAAACTGGTAAGTTTGATATTTTTATTTAATTTGATAAATTTATTTCTAGCATATTACAATTATGGTTTTCTTAAATTCAACTTTGTCTACTGGAATTATATTGAAATGTTATAATGGGAACAAAAATTCATGTATGTGTGTCTGTGCAACATGTTTTTGAAACATTAGAAGTGCTATTTAATTCAGCAAGAATGTTTCTTTAGATATTCTTTGATTTTTATGTTAGCAGCAATTTGTTTTATATTGTATTTTATCTGCCAATAAAATGAACGAGTTTTTTCAAATTTTAAACTAGTATTCAAACCAGCGACTACTTATTTAGTACCTGCTTTGTATCAGCAAATAATATCTTAATATAAATTGATAGAAGTGTTTGTTTGTTTATTTACTGAATTTGAAAATTTTGTGATTAGGATGAAGAAAATAATAAAGACAAGGAGAAAAAGGAGCAGCTAATAAAGAAGTTCTTTGAAAAGAGTTCAACTTCGTTTGAAAAGCAAAGTAAGCATTTTACATTATATTTAATATTTCTATTTTTTTTAAATATTTAACTTTTTGTTGTCAAATATTTTCTGTATAATTTTATTTTTAAATAGAATTGTTAACATATAATTTTATTTGCTATGATTTTAATTAACATTTGTCTAAAAATTGGAATCGACATTTTTAAAATGCAAAAAATAATTTTTACATTAAATTAGCCTCAAGTGAATCAAGCATATCCAACATGATGAATGGAAAGGATAAACAGCTGCCAAGCTTCTGGTTGCCATCACTTACACCTGACCAAAAACCCACAGATTTGAAAAAACCAGTATGTTTTATTTTGCTTTTGAAGTTTCATTCAATCTCTAATTTAAAAGTAAAACTAAAAAATAATCTAGCCATCTTGATACCTGTTGTAATTTTATATTTTCAAAAACATTTTTTTTTTCTACATCTTTATCTTATTGAATTGTAGGATGAAGTGGTGAGGTGTCCGATGAGTGGCCAGCCATTGAAGATGAAGGACCTAATAGAAATTCACTTCACGCCAATCAATGATGGCGATAAGAGAAATATCATAGCCAAAGAGGTGTGTTTAACTTTTTAACGTTGCTATATAAATTACTATGGTTTTAAAACTTTTAATTAATTTATTTTAAATTTGTTTATTTTTTAGTTGCGATATGTTTGTCCAGTTACCAACGACATCCTCGGAAATTCAGTCCCATGTGCAGTCCTTCGAACATCGTTAATTTCTCTATTTTTCCCAATAGTCGTTTTAATTGTTCTACTTTTAGTAGATAGTTTGAATTAATTTGAAAATTGTGAAATGAAGGCAAACAAAAAACACTAACAACAAACTTTTAAAAACGTGATAAATATTTATGTTTTGATAAAATGTATGTGCTTTGTAGAAACAACATTGGTCTTCCAATGCGATATATATGCTAGAAATTTTTATAATTTAAAATTTGTTACCTAAATTTTCAGAGGCTCAGTGGTGACGATGGAATGCGTGGAGAAAATAATTAGAAAAGACATGATTGATCCTATAAACGGTAAAAAGATGAAGGAGAAGGACATCATTCCTCTGCATAGGGTTTAATTTTGTTTCTCAATTTTAAGTATAGAATATAATAAAAATATAATTATCAGTAATAAATGTGTTTGTGCGTGTGCGTGTGTGTTTATGTGTATAATATTGTTTCATTTTTATCGCTGATATATTCTCAACTATTTTATTCACATTAAATTGAAGTGTTGATTTTAAATTTCAAGGGTGCAACTGGATTCTCTGGTACCGGTGTAAACCTTAAAGCTGAGAAGGAAGGAGCCGTCATGACCGCCTGATGATGAGGATGATGATGATGAGGATAGTCAATGTGAAAGAAAATCCGTTTATTAAATTTAAATAAATCACCTTTAGCATTATCATTTCGGTTTGTCTTTATAGTGTAAATGTATAAACTTTGTAAATATGTAAGTATTTTTTTACTCGTAATTTTTTAATTGATATAATTTTTGCTCATTTAAAATATTTTAAATAGTATAACAGTTTCTGATTGGAGGAATAAATATGGGATGTTATACGCTCGTATTTTGTCTGGTCATTCATTATACTTAAAGTTTATCATTTAAATTTTTTAGAAATTTAAGTGAATTTAAGGCGATAATGAAAGTTACTCTAAATGTTATCGCAAGGTGTACAATTTAGAAAAATGAAAGTTTTTGATACTTTTGTTATTTAGAAACTTCTTTTCCGACGATTACTAGAGCCTATTTGTCCTCAACGAAATCATTTTGTGTCGCATGAAGGATCTGTCCAGTTAACTTATTCTGTTTCAATCAATCAATCAATCTTCGTTTTGCGTTCAGAGACCCGGTTTCCCGAGGTAGGACGTTGTTTTCTTTGCCATCAACTTTTTGCGCCTAATTCGACGATCAGTTGTATCCATTTCATTTAAATTTAGAGCTTTCATGTCTTGCTCGATTGTTTGCGACCAGGACTTCTTTGGACGGCCTTTGGGACGTGTGCCAGGTACTTCAACACCTGCAAGAGAAGTTATGGCACTGTTTCCACTTCGTTTGACATGACCAAACCACCGCAAACGGTGTTGCCGGCATTCGTCCTTTATATCATCTAAACCAGAACGACGCAGGATTTCGGTAGATTTGATGTGGTCCTTCAGACTAATTCGTTGCATCCATCGGAGCATTTTCATAATCATTAACCAACTGAATTTACTCAATTTCATTTCCAAATGGTCCAATGTTTAAAACCGGCAACTTTATTTTGCACTGTCCTTAGCATTAGCTACGAGAGCCTTTTCTGCAATATTGCAGAAACTAATAATTGCAGTGCGGCCATTGAGAATCATTAAGATTTTTATGTCTTTCATTTTTCAAGTGTCAGATTTGTTTAATCAGCTGAACGTACGTTGCCCAATGATAAATATCGGTTCACCTACACAAACATTCGTTCATTGTTAGATGCTTAGTTCTCGTCTGCTGCCTGCCAGTAATCGAACATTGTACATGTTTGTGCGTTGCAGGCTGCAGTGATTGCTTATCATATTCTACTTCAACTCTCATCTAATTTACTCATCTTTAATTATACTGAAATATCGTCTTTTTTGTATGAAATTTTTGTTTCTTTCCTATTTTAAATGGTGATAATTCCTGGGTAATAAATGATAAATTAACATTATTATTATTATTACAACCAACACAAATGTTACAACTTCGAATATCTCTACATTTCCAACACCGGTGTTGTAGCTTCCAACGATCGTCAAGTTGTCATTTTATTCGTAGGTTCAAGATTTCCGATAGATGAACACAACTGCTTCAAACGCAAAATTGGTTGAACGTTCATTTGAATGCCAGCTAACACTTAACTAATCCAAATAACTACATAAATCACAATTACAACTTTTCTTCAGGCATTGCTTCTTGCCCCTTATATAGCCTCTATTGTATGAAAAGATTCTATGGCTTACAATCGATTGCAAATAGCGAAGATAATAAATATAACAAGATAACAATTATTAATTATATAGCGTAATTCAACTATTCCGGCGGATGTAACAATATTAATATTGTGTCGATCTAAATGACGCTAATTAAAATAAAATTCATCAAACCGCTGTCATGATTAAATCAGAAACAAACAAAAAATCTTTTGTTACACAAACACCACGCGCGCACACACACACACAACAAAGATTTTTTTTGTTAGAAAGTGATATTAAAATTGAGCCAAAATTCGAATTGTGTAGTTTTTCAGCTGCGCAACTTGTTTATATTTCGTATTCATTAGATGATTCTGAAAATTATATGATATTTATAATATAATGTGTATCAATTTTTAAATATTATTATATTTAGAAAATTGAATCAACTTCAAAGCCTACGTATGTGTTATAAGCAACTGCATAAATTAGTATCGCAGCATGCGGAATTATTCGTGCACGTTCGAGTACATAGTTTGCTAGGAAGGACGGTACACATTACATTAAACGAACGAAAGTTGTGGAGAGTAACCAATGCAACGAAAAAATAAGAAACAAATAGAAAAAGAGTATAAGCGACGAAAGCCTAAAATTAATCAAGAAAATAATGGCAACCATCAATCATACTTGAGAACCAGCGCCTGAACATTCTCTCACACACTCTTCATAAGCAATATAAACTTTATTTATTAGCGCCTCTTTATAATTTATTACTATAAATGACGCAACATTTCTTTAATTTCTTTTCGCAAGTTTTCAAGTACACACATGTTTGCAAGTATTATAATTTGTTATTACGATGAAACAAACTGTAAACTCTGCTGACGCCTGAACCTTGGAGAGGCGGACATACGTGCTCATTAGTAACAGGCTATTTGTTTGAGCGGCTAATGAGTTTTAGTTCGCGGTAGTATTTTGTTTGAGATATGAATGATAGCCGTCATCAGGTTTGTTGTCAGCGACGAATCATGCAGCGACGAATCATGAAACAAGCAACCAAAACAATCATCCAACCACACTTGCCTCGCGTGATGTGTTAGGCGATGGTTGTTGATACTGACGACAAGGACCGTATTGTAGTTCTTGAAATGAACGGAAACAATTATTTTCATTGCAAAATCCTGCGCAATAGATAGTTTTTAAAAACAGTATTCAAAAGATCGTTATAATGCAAAAATGTAAACTAACAATTTGTTAACTCAAACAAGTTTAAAATAATGACAGAATGAATGATGATTGTCTGTGTTGAAAATTTAAAAGGCTTGCCAATAGTCCTGTTTTTAAATGGGCTTTTATTGTTATACAACAGAATTAAAGCTATGAGATAATCGCATTTAACATTGTTTTACCAGTAAATGCATATTGGTGCTAGTATTCAATAATCCAAATACACATACACATAAATCCAAATACATATTAATATGTTTTCAATTTTGTAAATTTTCAGATATATTTATTAATATTTTAATGAGTTAGGTATGGCGCAGACTGCAGAGTGACAGTGGTCATAACGTTTTAATTTCTTTGTACTTCAACAAACCCTTAATAGATATATCTAAAATCACTTCTAAAAGAAATCAAATTATAGACTGAAGAGATAAATTTTACAGAAACGAAAGAAGAACATATATTTTGTTTGATTCCATCTAACATTGACTTGGGTGAAATTAAAAAGATCAAACAATTATATTAAAAAACCATGAAAGTCAGAGTCAAAAAATAAACTAAATTAGAATTTCATAATCAATTTCCCAAACTTGCAAGTTATTCAAACAACGACGTAGCCATAGACTTGATGTTGAAACGTTGTTAAACAGTGGAAAAATACAACTGACATAAATAAAAATCGATTGATAAAAACATAACGTAAAAAAAAACGAGCATACGAATCTTAGGTATTCTCAAAACAATGAGAATTAGAAAAAACAGCTGCTAATAAATTAAATAATTAACTATTTGATTTGAAAAAACACAATTTTGAAATATTTGATAAGTTAGCTCCACATGGGTTTCTACTGAGTATGTGCTGTTCGTAAAAGCATTGCGATGTTAGGATTGAACAGAAGAATACTGTAGAGAATTGGTTACATTAGTTGATATTTGATTGATCACAAACGGATGAACGGCTTAGTGAGTGAATGACTAGGTGGCCTTCTTCAACTTCTCCTAACCAGATCATAATGCGCTTTTTGCGTCAGCGTTTATGTCACAGTCATGCGATTATTTTTGAGTTTTCGTCTATATTATGGGGCGATTAAAACGGCCTGACGTCACTGTTTAATGTTCTTTTTATAGCGCTCAACTCTCGCCAGGTCGATATTTTTTTAGGTTAAAGTCTTTTTCGTTTTATTGTGCATAATTTTTTGTTTTTTGGCTGTTTAATGACCAATAGGTAAATAAGCAACGTGCTCTCAAATCGGTAAAATAAACTTATTCAGTAAAAAAATGTGCTGAAATGGGAGGCATTAAAAAAATTAGCGTAATAAAAATAAATGATCTGTTGAACGTGATCTTTCAGGGGCCTGCCTACACACACCATCAACTTCAATTTTATTTAAGTTGCTTTTTAAGTACAAACACTTTGTTTGTTCTCAGTACAGATGCCTGCATTGTCGAGATTAAAAGTTAATGTATCTTGCTTGTATATTTAAGTAATATTTTGTTTTCCAAATTTTGTTTACGAATTGCTTTAAATCTAAATTATAGATAAAACGCTTCCGCCAGTTTAAAATTTTGTACAATTTTTCCACGTTCACAAGTAGCGAACAAAACGTTGCGTTCAGTTTTTTATAGCGTCATTTATATTGTTATCACGTGTGCACTATTGGGTTCATAATCTGGATTTTATGATCCAATTATATTAACCTTAAATAGAAATCTTAGACGTCCCTGGTGCTGCATAGCATTGCGACATTTATGATGGAAAACGCTTGTCAGCGAGTGCCTGACCACGGAGAGTGTTACAAAAACATCTGCTGCAATTTATTATTAACAAACAATAGGTTTTTATAGGCGGAAAATTTTTGTAAACCAAAGACTAAAAAATTATTTATTTTATGATTTTCTTTTTTAATTTTGAAGTTTACTCAGAATAAATGTTTTTGACACCTCATTTTCTGAATAATTTTCATTTTTCAACCATTTAACGAATAGTGAAATCATTCATTGTTTATTCCATTTTATTGAAGATTTAAAAAAAAGCTAGGACACCGATGTTATATTTAATAACTATTTAATGACTAATGTTATTACTATTATGTAGACTAATTTATTGAAATCTTTCTCAATCTTTGAAAAACTGACACTTAATCAAATTACAGAGCCTAGTTTAGATAAAAT